AAAATGGGAGTTCATAACCCACTTGAAGCAAAGTGTGAAAGATGATAAAACAAGAACTATGTAATGTTTTGAACAACCAACAATAAAAAAAAAAAAAAAGAACTCTCTTCTGGTAGTGACATAGGGGCTAGTGGTGACAGTGGGGTCAAGTTAAGAGCCAGAGCATGCAAGTATATAGAGGAGACAGGTGCTTCATGCAGGTGCAGATGGGACCTTGAGTGTGATGTCCAGCAGAGGTGGCCTCCCCAGGCTGTGGGTCACTGTAGACGGCCACACCCTGTGCCAGGTGCTGGACGTGGCACTTGCCTTCCCTCCAGGATTCCCATTCTCATCAGGGGAACATGCCGTTCCAGCAGCAGCATTGCTGCCTAAATCCCTGCAGACTTGAGAACACAGGCGAGCACACCTCCACCCCTGCCTCGAAAGGCAATCAAGGGTTTATGGCATTTGAACTAAGAGTTGAAAGAGTTAAGAGTCTGCAAGAGTCCTCCCGCAGGCAGCTGTGAGAACTCCCATGGATGGAGGCAGTGAACCAGGGGTCTCACCGAATGTGAGTGAGTGCATGAAAGGAAGGAGGATGAGCTCCTCTGGAGAGTTTGAGGAGCTGGGGAAGAATCTAGTTTATGGGGCTGGAGTTGGGAGTGGAGACGGAGTTGGAAAGTGGAGTCAGAATCAAAGCCGACTTTTATTGATTCTCATCAGCATCATTTTTATTTCATGCTCACGTTGTTGCCCTGTTGTCTGCTGTTTCCAAGCATGAGCTCATTTAACTGTGAGTGACTGTTATTCTTCCCGATTTGCAGCAAGGAAGCTGAGACATAGATTAAGTGATTTTCCCATGCTCACATCACTCCTGTGTGGTGGAGCCAGGCCAGCATCTGTTCTGATGGGCTCCAAAGCTCTTCTCTGCACTGCTGGTGGGGCTGGAATCACCCGCACAGCAGCTCAGCCTAGCAGATGTGTGGAAGTGATTTCTTTTTCGGTCAGTAAACTGTGACCTTTCATCCTATCCCTTTACCTGGCTTTATGTCTTTATGGCATTTGTCCCTGACATTTTCTGGTAGATTTATTTACTTACTATTTGTCTCCTTCGTTAGAACATGAGATCCAGGAGGACAGGGACTCTGTTTTTATCACAACTGTTCACTTTGTCCCTAGAACAATGTCGGCCACATAGTAGCTGCTCAGCAAATATTGTAAAACAGTAGGAGTCTTCACACCATTACCATGTGCGAAGTGTTTGGCTGGTACTAACTTATTTGATTTTGTTATCTCATTAGAAATTGAGATAGAGCCCCAGCTGGGTTAAGGAACTTCTTCAACATCACAAGCCTAGAAAAAAAATAAAAGCTAGGATTCAGATGCAAGTACTTAATCTTCAGAAATCAGGTCCTTAAATGCTAAGCTTTACTGCTTTTCTGAGAGAATGAATGATTAGTTAAGACAGATTTATATAAGCCATAAAATGTACTTAGTAATGTATTTCAAAGTAAATAGCTTGTCAAGTAAAATTTATAAATAAAGATGCCATATTTTTCTTTTTAGGAAAGGACAATTAATGAGTAAGACAGGGGTCTGGAAAAAGCAAAATAGTACATATATTTTTAAATGTAGACTCAGATTCCTGGAAAGTGTATTATTATATCATCACTTATAATCTACTGGACCATAAATGAATACTGGATTTTAATGGCTAGTAAATCTGTCTCCAGTATGTTCCAAACAGCATTTTACACATCCCTTATCTTCATAAGATGTACTTACCTCTTATGGAAGAAACTGTAATAATAAACAGATGTTAATTTTCATCATAATTTATTTGTTAGTTTTAAAAGCTCAGTTCAGTGCCTCAGAACTATATGATAGTTGGAATTTGGAATTACAGTTTAACTGGAATTGGTCTTGAAATAGAATTCAGTCTTTTAGAACCTCTGCCTAATACTTAACAAATGTATTGGCTTTTGCTTTCTAATTTAGCATTCAGTCTGAACGAGACAGTCCATATTCTTCTAAGCATAGAGGTTAGATTAAGGTAAGTCCAAATTGCAAATACTAGGAAATTGTCTCCTGACCAAAGGAGAGATCAACAGCTAAATCGTTGAATTCTTTCCAGACATAGGCAAAAGTGTTTCAAAGTCAATTGTACCAAATAATTAAAGTTATCTATGATATTTTAAATATTCATGTTTTAATCCATTTTCAAACATTGACTTTTTCATTCCTGCAATCAACATTTCATTTGCTTTCCCTTTTCTGTCACCTGCTCACATTTTATCATTTAATTTCTAGCCCTTTCATGCTTGCAACGGTTAGGACATTTTCTCATTATGGGTGGAATTTTGCATCACCTTTTAGATTTGAAATAGTAGCAAGGTCTGGTGCTTAGGCATCATTTAAATTGATATCAGATGATTGCTGCATACAGGAGTGCCTTTACCATCTTCCAAACAGCTCCCGATAATGTGCATAGAACATTTTCTTACTCTTCCCTTGATTTTTTTTTTCATTTGAAATCTCTTCATCCCTATCCAATGACTTATTGAAAACCCTTGCTTTGAAGCTTAAAGTGTTGCAAGATGGTGACATAGCACTTTTAGAGGAGGTCTCAATCATATAGAACATCTGTGACTTTAACTCCAAGTGGTAAGAAGATCCGATCATCTGATAGAAGATTTAATTGTGACCTTTTTGATTTTGTATCTCAGAAGCACTAATACATCTCCATGTGTGTGTGTGTGTGTGTGTGTGTGTGTGTGTGTGTGTGTGTGTATGAGAAGAATAAAAGTTCTTGGGCCTTTTGAGGATTAGTAGATTAAAATTTATTTATACTTAAGATGACTATGGCTTACTCTATGGTAAATCAAAATTAGGATTCTGAGTGTGAAGATAGAACCTACTTTATGTTTTGGAGTGCTCACACACCTTTGGAGCCTGTTCTCGACAAGTGTGCAAGTTTTTGAAGTGTTTCTATTTGGAGATACAAGGAGAAGAACCTCAGTGGCCCTTGTTGTGGTCACAAATAGAAGCCTCTATGAAATCCATTGTACACTTTAGTGAATAAAAGCTAACAAAGCCAGGGATGATTTTGATCCACTAATAATCCACAGGGTTTATTTCATTCTAGGATTTGACTCCTTTGTTATGATGAAACTGTTGTGGCATTTTTATTGTGGTGGGGGAAGTTATTCATAAACTTATCTCCTGGTATCCGTCAGGAAAGCAGAGGGAAGCCAGTTAATATCTGAGTTAATAATTGTTAATATTATACATGTCCTGTAAGTAGGATGTGCATACTTGTTTGGAAGTCACATTTTGAGTTGCATTTATTTTCCCTCAATTTTTAAAGAAAGTTAACTATATTTTAACTCCTAAAGGACTCTTAAAATGTATATCTCATCATTCTATCATCTTGATACAAATATTTTCATTTTCTCGTTCCCTTAGTTCCTGTTCATATATGAATTTGTTTTAATGTCGAAATCGTGTCTTATTTTTTCCCATTTAACATAAAGATATTTCCACTGTTAAAAAGTTTTCATCATAATTTTGGTTCTTACTTTGTAACTCATTAGCACTTATCTTTATGTAAAACTTTAAAAAGTACTTGCTAAATTTCTTTTCTTGTCTAGTTCACATTAGCATCCACTCATCATTATTTCAGTTTTATGCAAATAGTAATATCATTAGTTTCTTTACATATGAATGTTTGCTCTTATATAATCCTTCATGAATATGTGTGTGTGTATATATACATACATATATATAGCAAGTTTTAAAAGACAATGAAAATTACTGCATAATTCAGAAGTGACAGTAGGAAAGGCCTGAATTATTTATCTTGTACTCTCTTGGGTAAATGCTAATTTATCCTTTAAGTTTGCTTTTTTCTAATGTGCCACATTGTTTGCCTGATTTAATTTGATTACTGTTTTTACATTTCATATTTGTACTTGAAAGTTGAAATAAATACTATATAAATGAAAGCAACGAGGTTTATTTGATATTCGGTTCCAGTGATTTATGATAAAAACTATCTTTAAGTAATAAATATATATAAACTTGAAGATTGATGTGGAAACCACATTGGTGCACTAACTAAATATTTAAGATTTATTCTTAAATTGTGTCTGTGTTGATGGTAACTGGAACATAATCTTATAACTAGTATAAACACAGGATATAATAAGTTTGTTGGAAGAGGAGGTGTAGTCATAGCAGATATGAAGACTTTTGGCTTTGGTAATGACTTGAAACATAGTGAATAGTGCTTTCCTTCAAAGCTAACACCCATATCCTTAAAACATTACTCTCTGTACATATATATGCATATTTATTTCTGTAAACCACAACCACAGTTGTGCCTTATTTCTGTATCTTAGTTCCTTCTATATTTATAAATTTGAAGATTCCAACATTATGTTATCCCTTTTTTTGCTTGAGTAATTAAGAAGTATAGGTCTAGTATTCAGGCCCAACTTTTCATTTCTGTGGTGCTTTAAAGTACTTTTAAATGTTATTATTTTTAAATCACTTTAAACAAATAGTTGTGTTTTTTTAGCATGAGATAGATTAGATATTGTGTCCTCTTGTTTAGCCACAGGGTTTTATTTAACCCATTTTACATATCTTGTGTATAAACAAAAAACTGAGTTATCCTGACTGCTTCCCCTGGGCTCTTGCCTTCTAGTTACCTTTGCAAATCTGCCAATTTCCAGTTTGTACTGAGTGTCCCTGAAGGCCCTCCTTGTGTTTCTTGAGCACTGTCGGGTGTCTGGGTGGTTGTTTAGATTCATCCAAGATACTTCACTTGCAGTAGCTTCTGAAGAAAACGAGAAAGAAGAGACCATTGTGAAGAGTAACCTGTTTGGTCTCTAGATGTACCTGTCTGTATCTTTTATATTTTTGGGAAGGGGAACTGGTCAGTTGCATTCTTTTCTTTGAACACTGTGGTCAAGAATCTGATCAGTTGTATTTATTTTCTTCGTTCCTTGTGTTTTTAGGAGCTGCCTACAGTCCTCCTTCTTCATGAGCTGGCTCAGCAGGAAGGAGCATGGACCATACTCCCCCTGTTACCGCAGTACGTGCATTTAACGCCAACGTGTCAATTATTGACATTTCAACCTGACGACTTTTGTGCTCCCTGGTTTTCTTATTAAGAAGGTGTTTTTCCTCAGTCAACAAGTGAAGTGAATTTGAGTTTTACTTTTTATGATTACCATATTACACAGTTTTCTTGATTGTTTCTTATTCATACATAGCTTTTAATTGTAAATGTGCTGTATTCTTAAAAGATTGAATGCTTCAAGTTGATATTTGAAAATTATTTTTCTTGTGAACTGGTGTTGTTATGGAGATAATTAACTTTAAGAACTCTGGCTGCTCTGTAGGCGATTGGTGTATGGCTTTACTATAAGTCGAAACTCTAGACGTTGAAGAAGAGTTGAGAGGAAAAACCCTCTATTGTCGACCGTTCTATTTGAACTTCATCCATTCCTTACCTACCAGTTTTAAGTCTTACTATAAACTCATTTTACACAGATGATGACTGTAACTTATTTCTTTTTGTTAGCTTTTCTGGAACATATAGCCGCAATTCATCATGGATTTTCTTCTGTGAAGAGGAGACAAGGATAGAGATTCCCAAACTCTTAGAAACACTCAGACGATACGATCCATCTAAGGTGAGTAAACTTCAGTGCTAGTATGTATACTTTCCAGCCAGTGCTTCAGAGAAAATGTTTAATTTTGATTAAGAGGCGTTAGAATAAAGACAATTAATAATTGTAATAAATTCTAATAAAGACAATTAATTTAAAGTGAAAAGGAATGAAGGAATAGGTGAATATCTGGAAGCTATGTTAAAAAAATTCTCTGGGAGGCTTATGGCTTATGGAGAGATGGAATGTAGAGTGAGCCATTATACATCCCCAATGAAAAAAATCTCTTTATATGTGCTAGCAATTTCAGAGTCAAAAAACTACACAGAAGAGTTCATAAACAGTTTACCCTAGAAATAAATTTAAATTGGTTATTTTTATTTTTACTAATCAGGAAGTATATGTATTATTTTATATAGAAGGATTTTTGAGTACCAGCAGTGTGTTAGGCACCCTGGACAGCAGGAGCTAGGATAACACAGACAAGGATCCTGACCACATGGATGGTATAGAATAGGTGCCTTTAGTGAATCAATTACAGTTAAAAGAGATCTAAAATAAGGAGAAGCTTGAGAGGCCCTGAGAAGCATATAACAAGGTGTTGAGCCTAATCTGGGAGGGTCAGGACAGCAAAGGATGCTCACTCTCATCTGAGTCCTGCAGGATGAGCAGGAATCAGCAGAAGAGGATGTTCAGGCAGAAGGAACTTATTTGAGAAGGACTGAAGTGAGAAGGAATGGTTCTTGCATTAGAGGGATTCAGTGAAGTTCACAGCCACTTTCATATTTTCAGGTCTTATTTTGTATAGATTTGATCCAGCAATGGGATCTTGTTTCCCTCTGAATCCCTAGCTTTGAGCAGAGGGTTGAACATTTAGGAGGGGTCAATCACCCTTTGTGAATGGCTGAAAATCCTAAAATATCAGCTTTCCTTCCAGATTGTGTTCAAAGGCTCAGAGGGCTTAAAAGGCTGCCCTGGACATAGGTCAAGAGTCAATCAAGGGACTGGAGATATAGCTCAGTTGGTAGAGCGCTTGCCTTGCATGCACTAGGCCCTGGGTTCAATCCCCAGCATCACATTCAGTTCTCTTAGAGAAGCCCAGGTTGCAACCTGGTTGCTTTATGGGATCCTTTAGACTTGGGATAAGCAGAATTGGACCCTTTCTGGTACCGCTAGTTACCTACGTCACCCGGAAGCCCACTCTAGAGAAGAATGTGGTTTAATGACTTTCTGGGGAATGAAAGGCCAGTTCTGGCTTCCTGCTTGGTTTGTTGATATAGATGTAAAGAAGGGCAGCGGTGGTGATCAGATTAAGTTCTCAAATATGGGGTAGTCTGTTACTGTAATATAAACCATTGATTTTGATGATCTTTAAAAGCTGGAAGGATCTACATGGTTTCTCTTTTTTGCTTTTGATTTTGGGAAGGTATAGATATAATTGGATGAGAAGGTTGTTAGGTGAAAAAAACAAAGTCTTCAAAGAAGAGAAAAGTTATGAACCCGACTCCTCCAGTCTTTTGAAATGATGCTAACCAGCATCTGTGTACTTGGTTGCCATGTTTTATATAAATCCTTCATTAAGCTTTTATGCTTTTTTTTTTTTTAACTTGAGAAAAACTCCCAAATCTTTTTTAGGATGTAGGAGTTTCAGTCTCCTCCTGGTGTTCGGTTCACCTGGAGATTATTTTTCCATTATCCATGGCTCTAATTCTGTACAGGAGATGGTGACTCACTGTGCTTTTTAATGAAAATTGGGATGATAAATGTAAAAGTTCAAAACAAGTTCATGAAAAGCAAGTACAGAACAGAGGTGAAATGAGATGTTTTTTCCCTCTTTTCTGAACTCTGCCTCTGGGAGAAAAATGTCTAGGATGCTTTATTTCTTTTGAAACTAACATTGAGGAATAAAGATTACATAATTTGAAGTGAGCTCAAACCCATATGATTTTTTTAACCCCTTTATTCTTTTTTCCTAAGATTTAAAAATCTTAGGAAAAAAAAGCACAAAGCAAGCCTGACTTTGATATTGACACAAATAAGCCACATTGAAACAATAACTATATAATGTGTTAGAAATCAGGTCTTTTGTTTGCTTCTAATATTTTCCTTTAATATCATTCAGCCATTCTTACAAATGCAAATTTATGTTGTTTATACAGTATTTTAAATATAAAAATAAATCTTTATTAAATGATCTCTGTTAAATGGCCTTCCTAGGTGGTTTCTATAATTTTCCATATCTTGTTTGTTGTCTTTTTTCCCCAAAGCATGCTTTTCATGGGTGTGTGTTTGATGAAGTGTATTGACTTCTTGTATTTATTTTTAATAGAGGTGAAATGTCCTACAGTGTGTATCACTATCCTCTCTGTGAAGCCATTAAAATCATGAAAAAAATAGGGGGTTTGGCTCTTTCCATAGATTCTATATTAGTTACTTCCTTAAAGTTGTGTATAGCCTGCACAAAAATATTGAAAAACATTCTTACATAGTTTATAATAGATACACACTGCAATTAGGAGATAAAATATGACAACATGTTTTACATAAAATTATGTTTGGAATGAGAGATTTTAGTATTAAAAGATTGGTAAGAAGGTTGCCAAAATATACCAAGGTGTTTATTTTCTTTATAGGCTATAGAGGCATGGTATGATAAATGGGTGATTTTCTTTTTTTTAAAAAAGTTTATTCTAATTAGTTATACATGAAAGTAGAATGCACTTTGATACATCATAGATGGAGTATAATTTCTCATTCTTCTGGTTGTACATGTTATAGAATCCCACCAGTCATATAGTTATATATGTACATAGGATAATAATGTCTGATTCATTCTACTATCTTTTCTATTCCCATAACCCCTCCCCCCCTCACTCACTTCTACCTAATCTAAAGTAACTTTATTCTTCTCTAGCACCCCACCCCCTTATTGTGAATTAACATCCATATATCAGAGAAAATATTTGGCCTTTGATTTTTTGGGATTGGCTTATTTTGCTTAGCATCATATTCTCCAGCTCTATCTATTTACCAGCAAACACCATAATCTCATTCTTTGTTAAGGCTGAGTAATATTCCATCATGTGTGTACGTATGTTTATATATATGTTATATATATGTGTATATATATATATATATATGTGTGTGTGTGTGTGTGTGTGTGTGTGTTTGTGTGTATATATCTCACATTTTTTAACTCCATTCATCTGTTGAAGGGCACCTAGTTCCATAGTATAGCTATTGTGAATTGAGCTGCTATAAACATTAATGTAGCTGCGTCGCTCTAATATGCTAATTTTAAGTCCTTTGGGTATAAACTGAGACTTGGGATAGCTGGGTCAAATGGTGGTTCTATTCCAAGTTTTCTGAGGAATCTCCATACTGGTTTCCATAATGGTCACGCCAATTGGCAGTCTCATCAGCAATGTATGAATGTACCCTTTTCCCTACATCCTTGCCAATATTTATTGTTGCTTGTATTCTTGATAATTGCCATTCTGACTGGAGTGAGATGAAATTTTAGTGTAGTTTTGATTCTCATTGCTAAGGATTTTGAACATTTTTCATGAATTTGTTGATCGATTGGATTTCTTCTGTGAAGTATCTGTTCAGTTCCTTAGCCTATTTATCGATTGGGTTATTTGCTGTTATTTTGTTGTTAAGTTTTCTGTAGCTCTTTATATAACCTGGAGATTAGTGCTCTATTGGAGGTGCATGTGGTAAAGATTTTCTTCCAATCTTAGACTCACTCTTCATGTTATTGTTTCCTTTGCTGAAAAGAAGCTTTTTAGTTTGAATCCATCCCATTTGTTGATTCTTGATTTTACTTCTTGCACTATAGGAGTTCTTGTTAAGGAAGTCAGTTCCTAAACTGACATGGTGAAGATCTGGGCCTATGTTTTCTTCTATTAGGCGCAGGGTCTCTGCTCTAGTGCCTAAGTCTTTGATCCACTTTGAGTTGATTTTTGTGCAGGGTGAGAGATAGGGGTTTAATTTCATTTTGTTATATGTAACTTTCCAATTTTCCCAGCATTGGCAAGAGTTTGATAGTTTTGATAAAGAGCTAAGTTATTGACTTTTAAAAAAGCTATTGAAATCCATCTGAAGCTGAGGTTATTTGTCTTGATCATTACTGGGCATTCTTCTCACCTCGTAATGACTTAAACGAGGGCTCTGGGAGTTATTTGGGATACAACCACAAGTATAGTAAGACTCTTAAAAGTTATTGAAGGGCACATAAGCACTGTATCCCTCCCACTTTTATATTTTTATAAGGAATAGAATAAGGTGGCATTAGTTGAATCAGAAAGAAAACACATCAAAATTTTTAGAACTTAGGGTAACTTGATTTATTATGTTTTGGTTTCTTCAGTCTGTCCCCAGGGCTTTCTCCATTCATTTAACAAAAAAGCAACTAAGTGCCCATTACATGGTAGAGATACTAGAGGGATAGCAGTGAACAAAATAGATGACATCCATGCCCCCAAGGAGGTGATGCTGTGTTTCAGAGAAGGTAGTGATCAAAATGCAAACAAATATATAATACATCAGACGGCAACAAGTGTTATGGAGAAAAAGCAGAATGGGGGTACAAGAGATTGAGAATGGCTTCCTAGACCATGTAGGGTGTTCAGAGAGTACCTCCCTGATCAGGGCTCACTGGAGCAGAGTGAGAAGGAAGTGAGGGAGTGAACCTGGTGTTCCCCACTCCTGTATCAGACCTGCCACTTCATACCTCTGCTTATCTAAAGAAACTTCAGACTCAATACATTCAAAACTGAGCTTTTCATGCCCTCCAGTGCCCCTTCCATGCTCAGTCCTCCTGTTCTCAGAAATGGCATCACTGTCTATCAAGTTGCTCATAAAAACAAACAAACAAAAAACCCTAGGACTTGTGATAGTTTCCTCTTTTTATCTTCAACTCCACGTTTGTCTGTCCAGCTGGATCTACTTTCAGAATATCTCTGTCATCCATCTTCTCTCTAGTACTAGTACTGTGGTCCAAGCCACCACCATCTCTTGCCTTGACCACTAATAGAGCCTCCAAATTGTTCTCCTCATTTCTGTTCTTCCCATCCTAATAATCTAGCTCCTCTATGATTCAGATCTTACCACTCACCTGCTCAGAAACTTCCAGTGGTTTCCCATTTCACCAAAGATATTTTCACTGGGTATCATTTCCTAGATGGGCAGTCATTCTTTAGTCTTTAGTCACTGTAAGGATGTTGTACCATTGTCTTAACCTCCCATTATTTCACTTGAGAAGTCAACTGTTTATCTTTTTTTTTTATTCTGTTGAAAGAGATGTTGTACACATTTGCCTCCTTCCTTGAACACTCTTCACTAGCTGCTTTTTAAATTTCTCTATCTTTGGATTTCGATAGTTTTACCATTATGTGCTTGTGTGTGGTTTGCTTTTGTTCATCCTGATTTGAATTTATAGAGATTCTTAAATCTATGGCTTGATGACTTTGGTTAGTTTTAGAAAGTTCTAAGCCTGTATTCAACTAGTGCTTCATTTTCCTCCCCTCTCTTTTCATATCCTTGGTTTCCAATTTCATGAATTTTTCTGTCTTTTCAATGTACCTCATATGGCCTTAAGTGCTTTTCTGTATTTTCCTCCTTTTGGTGCCTCAGTCTGGATATTTCTTTACTGACTTACCTTCCAGATCACAAATCTTCTCTTCCATTATGTTTAATATCTTTTTGAATTAATCATTCAGTGTTAGTATTTCCATTTGATTCTTGTTTATAGATTCTAGTTCTTTGGTGCAGTTCTCCATCCTTTCATCTATTTTCTTAAACATATTAATAATGTTGAAAGTTTTGCTTGATAGCTGCAAAATTGAATTTACCTGTGCATCTGTATTTTTCACTTAATCTCTTTGTTTTTGATTTGGCCTTATTTCTTGTCCTGCCTTTTAGTTTTTGACTGAATGCTACATATTTTATGTGAAAAATTAAGGAGGCTGTGGATGATAGAAACTTTCTTTCTGTGGATGATAGAAACTTTCTTTGGGAGAATATAATATTCTTCTGTGTCACAGGCCAGGTTTGGGTAAGTCTGTTTACAGATCACCCTTACTCTTAGCACCCTTTCATCCTGGTAGGGTCTTCCCAGAACCATAGACTGCCAAAGGCTTTGCTCAGCTTTTTAGCCTTTCCACTTCTGCTTCCTGTTTGGTTCTTATTTTTTTACTTTTTTTTTTTTTTTTGTGCAGCTGAGGTAGTTGAGTGAAAATTGCATGCCAAAGCTTACCTCTTCAGTCCAGTAAGATTGCAGAAGTTTCTAGCTGCAACTTCTGCTACATGCTAGCCACAGCTCAGAAGCCAGTAAGTTTCCTGTGGGAAAGAAGAGGCCAATCTTGGGTTCCCACAGATGGGTTTTTCAATTGTGAAATTTTAGCCCTTCACATCCTGTCTGCCTTTGTTGTTTTCCAAGGACTTCAATCATTTGTGTTACATATTTCTCCAGCATTCATACCTGTTTTTAATGGTGACATAGATCTAATCCAGGCTATTCTGTTGTGGCCAAAAGTGGAAGTCTTTTATTACCCTTAGAATAAATCTCATGTTCCTTTCCTCTGATTCAGAAAACCAATCTGGTCTGTCTTCTGCCTGTCTCTTTCATACCATGTTCCCCAAGTCCAGCATCTGCTAGCCAACCTAGATGTTTTTTGTCATCAAGTTTTTTCTTACCTCAGGGACTTTTGCATTAACTTCCTCAGATTTCTGCAGAGTGGGCTCCTTGGTATTATTTCATTTCCATTTATTTGTTCCATAAGGTATTTCCCTTTTGATCCAGGACAGCCCCCAGTCAATTGCTGTATTTATTTGTTTAATTCCTATTTCCCTGTTATAGTGTAAGCTATATTGCTGCCTGCTGGAGATTCTCAATAAATATTAATTGAATGAATGAATGAATGCTTAAAATAGACCCTGATTCTCAAAAGAATCTTTCAGATCTTTCTTTGAAAACTTTAGTGAAGCATAGGAGCCACTATTCTCTTTGCTTTCATAATATTTTTACGTGGAATATTCTATAAAATACCACTTTTATATACTTATGGTATAATGATGACTCACATTTTGTTCATTCCGATGATCTGATCTTTAACTCCATATATATATATATATAGATAGATAGATAGATAGATAGATAGATAGATTGATTCATTGTCATAGTGGTTTAATTATATTTTTGTTCCAATTCTGCCAAAGTACATAATCTGTGTTAACTCTATCTCCCATGATATTTAATTAATTAAAACTAATGGTACGACTTTGCTTTGGGTTTTACATGAATGGCCTTTCTATACAATGACATTTTATATTTCTATTTAACAGGAATGGTTTTTAGGAAAAGCATTACATGACGAAGAATCTTCAGTAATTCACCATTATGCCTTTTCTGAAAATCCTACGGTTTTTAAATATCCAGACTTTGCTGCCGGCTGGGCCCTTAGTATTCCACTTGTAAACAAGTAAGAATTGATCATTCGACTTTTTTTTTTTTTTTTTTTTTTGGTGTATGTACCAACTTTTACTTTGCTGAGTTCTGTTCTTGCTGGATCTCAGGATCTCAAATGAGTTTTTCAGCCAGAGGCAGTGGGTGGTAAAATGAAAAAAAAAGGGACATGGAGCGAGAGCCCTGAGGGCTGTTGCTTCAAGTCTGTCACTTATGAGTCCCCTCAGACAAATCATTCCACTTCTCTGTACTTCCTCTTACTCACCTGCAAAGTAAAGCAGGCAATAAATTGTGAGACCAAGGAGAGCACGAAAGGGCCCTGAGAACTGTGTACAAGGAAGCAACATGACTCTTTTGAAGGGACTTGGTTTGCTTCTCAGTATTACATTGATTGCAAGTAAGAAAGCGAATCAGTAGCATGCTGAGGTGGGGGGGGTGGATGGCTTGTTATGTGCGTGGTTATGCATGTTAAACATGGGCCCGGCAGGAGGGACGGCCAGCAGAAGGTGCTGTCGGTGGTCATACCCAGGTGTGTGTGTGCACAGCTGCAGCGGTACTTGATTACATATGGAAAGTGAAGACGATTAAGTTGCAATTCAGGAGAAGTGTGATTGTCAAAAGGCTCTTGTCAATCTGAATACTTCATACTCCTTAAAGAATGAAAAGTTGACAAAACACTTGTAACCTTTATATCTTCAGAGATGAAAGGGTTTTCGCTTCTCATTCAATGTCCTGCTTCTAGGGCTTGGGGTTTGAAAAGAGACCGTGTTGTCCCTAGCTGGCCAAAACTTGTTCACTATTCTCTTCACTTTCGAAAGTTCTGTAGAGTATAATATCCTTCTTCCCCGTGTAGAATCCACACCACCACCACTAGAGCAAGACTTCCTCTGTTGGGTGAGGGGTCTAGTTCAGGAGTACAGTTCTTGCCTAGCATGCATGAGGTCCTGATTACATCCCCAGCACCACAAAAAAACAAACAAAAAACCAGTAGCAGCGAGACCTATTTTTTTTCTATTTCAATTTATTTTTAACTGATATACAAATACATAAAGTTGTATGTATTAATGGGATACCATGTGCTATATGATATACATTATACAGTGTGTAAAATTTAAATCATTTTACACAAGTTATACATGTCTCTGACTTCAAACATTTATCACTTGTTTATGGTGAAAACATTCACACTCCTTTCTTGTAGCTTTTGATTGACAGCACATAATTACCCGATTATAGTGAAATCACACCAGAACTTCTTTCTCCCATCTAACTGTAACTCAGCACCCCTTGATCTACCTTTTTCTCTCCCTTCCTCTCCCTTCTCTTCCCAGTCTCTAGTAACCACTATTCTATTCTCATATTCTATAAGATCAAATTTTTAGGTTCCAAATATGAGTGAAATCATACAGTACATGTCTTTCTGTGCCTGGCTTATTTTATTTAACATAATGATCTCCAGTTTCATCTATGTTGTGGCAATTGACAGGATTTCATTCTTTTTTTTTATGACTGACTGGTATTCCATTATACATATATACCACAATTTTTTTTTGTCCGTTTATCACTTGATGGACACTTAGGTTGTTTTCATTTCTTGGCTATTGTGAAAATAGTGAGCTGTTTCAGCCTTTCCCCATTCAGCATTATGCTAGCTATTAGTTTATTATACATGACCTTTATGATGTTCATCTGTATAGATGATCATCTAGTTTTCGACCTTCATTCTGTTAATGTGTTGTATCATGGTTATTGATTCATGTATGTCAAACCTTCCTTGAGTTCCTGAGAGGAATCCCACTTGATCATGGTGAATAATTGTTTCAATATGCTGTTGAATTTGTATTGCCAATATTTTGTGGACGATTTTTACATTAATACCCATCAAGGATATTGGCTTATAGCTTTCTATTTTGTTGTGTCCTTGTCTGGTTTTGGTATCAGGGTGATGCTGACATTGTATAATGAGTTTGGGGAAATTCCTCTCTCTTTAGTTTCTTAGAACAACTTAAGAAAAATTGGTATTAGTTTTTTTTATATTGGGTAGAACTCAGCAGTGAAGCCATCTCATCCTAGGCTTTTGTTTGATGGGAGACTTTATTCCAGTTCTATCTTGTTGCTCATTATTGGTCTGTATAGTGTTTCTTTTTCTTCGTGGTTCAGTCTTGGTATGGTGTGTGTGTCCAGGAATCTATTTCTTCCTCGCTATCCCCCCTGGATTTTCTAACCTTCCTTGCTCCTAGGGAACAGCTATGTGATGTATCAGGAAGTTGTGTCACATACAATTCATTTTGGGAACTGAGTTATGTGGGAAGGAGGCAAAGCACAGAGGAGGATGTGGCTTGAGGGATCTTAGCAGGGGACGAGGCTGGCAGCTAAAGCAGTGAGCTGCTGATGTAGCAGCTCCCTGGTGAAGCTCCTTGGCTGCTTATTTCTGTGCAAATCTGGGTTTCGTTCTTGGAGTCTCGCCCTAGAGTTTCTTTACTCAGACATTCCAGCAATTCTTTGAGCCTGAATAAATGCAGCCTGTGCTTCAACTATCCAGAGTGGATTATTTTGTCTCCAACAAAGACCCCTAACTCTGTACCCTGTCCTTAGGCTGCTGGGCAAGAATGCCCTTCTCCCAGCTGGGGCCAAGCATGCCTAAGAGAGTCTGCCTGGTTTCCCTGCTCTTGTCTTGGGAGTGTCAGGAAGGAAGGGAAAAGAAGATAAGAAGAGACAGTATCATTCCCTCTCGCCCTCCACTATTTCACCTGGCTCTGCTCCCTGTGGGGGAGAGGGGAAAGTGTCTTCCTTCACCTGTTCAAGGTCATATTTATTCTTACATTAAATCACTTTTGGTTTGTTGCAAATTATAGGCCAGGAGCTGCCAGCACCCTTGTGTTTGGAGCCCAGTTTAGTGACCTTCTTTTTGGTCTGAACTCTTAAAAAAAAAAAACGAGCTCTAAGCTTCACGTCATAATCCAAAGCACTGTGCCTTGTTGCTCGATTCCTCCCAGCCCCCAGTCAAGGAGGCTTCCCTCATCCTTCCTTGCTCTCTTGACTTTGCTCCCTAGTGTGGAAGGCTCAGGACTGATTTCTCCATGGGAAGAGGCCGGTGTGGCTGTGATTTCTTTGACTTGGGGGTTATAAGCTCTTCATAAGCTTGTTTGTCTCCTGTTCCCCATAGTTCAACCATGTTCCTTTAGAAAGGCACAAGCACAGCTCCCTCTGCCCCGTGAAGCGCTGTGGCACACCACTGCTTCTCCCTCCAGGGCTATGGAGCTCCTGGTGGACCTAGGAGCCCAAGTACAGTGTACATGGGGACGTAGCTATTTCTCTGAGGCCAGTAGATCTTCTTTCCCCATCCCTGCCCTCTGACCTGCTTGGCCTCTCATCCTGAGGGCAAATCCTGGTTGTCTAGAGAGTTCTGCCCATCAGTTCCCCCATTTTCCTCTGGCAGACTTTCATAGAGGCCTCTTGGTGCTGAATTCAGTTTTGAGTTAGGTGTAGAACTGTTTTTTGCTTCCCTTTTGAGTATTTTTTTTTAAACCAGGTGGATGGAATTAATCTCTTTGAACACCTCTTTGATTCCTAGTATCCTCTTCTAGGACTGCTCAGCCAACTCTTATTGCCTGACTGGCTGGCGTGAGAATACGACTTTTTCTACAGATCCTCGTGGGTCTCCCTCTGCCCATACTCCTCATCAGGCTTGGAGACACCAAAGCCCTGGCTGGTTCCATTGGCTCTGGCGGATGCCAGCTTCCTACCTACTTTACGTTTCCCATGCAAGTAGCTGCCCAGGCTTTGCCAACTAGGCTGTAGGTTGTACACTAACCCAGGTGCGAGTCCTGTTTGTGGGAGGACTTTTTGTTATGGATTTCCTGGCATTCTGCAAGGAAGTCCCACAGGAGAACACAGTCATGACTCCCTTCTCTCATGTTCTCGAGGTTGTTGAACACATCGGTTGACAAGGGACAGAGCCATGTACACAGCTTCCATAGGAGGCTCAGGTCTCTTTGTGGTCATGCTTACCAATATTTTCCACTGAGATATGAGAGAGAACTGAGGGCTTCATCACCGCAGCAGGGTGGGTAGGTGTCTTAGTCGTTTTGGGCTGCCTGAACAAAATACCATGAACTGGTGGCTTATAAATTACAGGTTTATTTCTCAGAGTCCTGGAGGCCAGGAAGTCTAAGATCAAGGCACCTGAAGATTCGGTATCTAATGAGGCCCCCTTTCTGGTTCACTGATAACACATCACGGTTATCCTCACATGGTAGAAGGGTCACACAAGCTTCCTCAGGCTTCTATTATTAGAATTCTATTCCCATTCATGAGATCTCTCTCCCTATGAGCTAATCACCTCCCCATGCCCCCAAATCCAGTCTCCTAATAACATCATCTTGAGGGTTAGATTTCAGCATATGGATTTTAGGGGAATGTAGACATCCAGACCCTAGGAATAGGGAACTATGGCTAAGGAATTTAGGGCCAAGAGACTAATCTTTCGCACAAAGTTCAGAAATTTCCATCACTTTCCCCATAACTTAACATCATAGAGGAATGAGGTACCAGATAACCTGAATCGGTCTCATCTGCTCTTCACATCACTGAACAGTGATCAATAAACTATAGCATGCTTTTAGTGGATTAATTCCCATGATCTTCTCCCTGTTTTGCCTCCCTTTCCCCTGCCAGCAAAAACAAACCAAAACTTTAGATTCTACTATAGTAAAAGATTCAAATTCCAGTTATTTTAGACCATATTTATTCTTTTCCCCTGATGCAGACAAGTAATCAAACCAAATGATATAACACCTCTGGCATAGCAACTCTCTCGTGACCAAGGTATATTGTTAAGTGATTTTCTAACAGGAGATTCTTATTCTATAAGAAATTGGTATTGCACTTAGACCTAAAAGGGAACAGAAGATCTCCATTAGTCCCATCAACTGCAAAATTTTCCTAGTTGTTTTTTTCTCAGTTCTGAACTAAAGCACTGACCTATTTCCTCCTGTTATTAGGAACTATGTGAGTTGGCACACTTTGGGGTGCAAATATCAATAAACAACTCAAACTGGATTAAGGAAATGTTTTTTTATTGCTGTAACTGGAGGTGAGGTCTCTGGTTGGTTGACACAAGAGTTCAGCGGCATGATTGAGGACCCAAGTTCTCTCTGTCTCTTGCCTATAGGTCACAGTGTCTGTTTATCCTAAATCTGTTTCCTTTTGTGGTTTCAAGACAGTAAGGACTTCATGTTTCCTTTTTCTTTCCACCAGCAGAGGACCTCTCCCCCAGGGGAAGCTAATCCCTTATCCTGAGTCTGGTTGGGCTCTTTTAAGGCACACACCAACCTTGGACTGACGATTAATAATTACCAGGGATTGCAGTGCTTTGATTGGTCCAGAATTTTCAGGTTCTGATCTTGAAGCTTATTTAATTGTTTGGCTTAATAATTAATCAAAATCAAAATTTGTTTAGGAAGAAGGAAGGGGGAACTGCAATGCATAAGAAGGAGCAATGCCCATTACAGGGACACTGATTCCTTTGTCTGATGTTATGCCCACTTCATAGATAAGGCAACAATTTAGAGATACTAAGTGCTTCTTTTGCCTAAGTCACCGTGACAACTGGTTACTTAAACACATTTCATGACACACACTTCCTTAGACTTTTTCCTAGGAGAAATAATATCTGTTTTAATGATCCTACAACAATGAGTTTTGAATTAACACGGCTCAACGTTTCTAACAGTCCATCCATGGGATCCTCTGACATGCCCTGGTGCTCTATCTACATGATCTCTTGAAAAAAAAAATTGTATCTTTGGAGAAACTCTAATAATTAAATTTCCAATAAGATGATTTCTTCAAATGTATGTTATTATAGAAAATTGTTACTGGTTTTCTCCATTGTTTTTCTACCTTCTACCTTAGATTTCCTGCAATATCTTGCTCTGCTGACTGGTTCCCAAGTGATACTAGAAAAGTCAACTTAGAAGTTTGCCTGTTATTGAGTTGAAGGGGCCCATGATCTTTTACACATCCTCAGTCTAGCTGGCTGTATCATTAGAACTGTGCTATCAGGTGTGTGGTTTAACAGCTTCTAAAAATTAGGAAAACTGAGTTTCAAATATCATAGATATAAAGAACTGAATATTTAATGAGAAGATATTGTATCCAAGTAGAATTTCTGACCTTCATTGTTTGTTTGTTTAGCATTGTTTGGTACTAAAATTGACATTTGAAAAACCTTGTGCTATGATGCTTACTGCATGAGAAAATGAAAGATAGTTCCCAATATTAGGGGTTGCCTTTTAAAATAGATGAGCATTCTATATATTCTTAGGACTTGTATATATTTGCAAATAACTGACTTAGGCCCCAGGCAGCACTAGAAGCTGATTTCATGATGTTGGGGTAATCATAGCTTGGTTTGTGTGGACTCCCTGGGCTGCAAGAGATAGCCACTTAAACCCTATAGGTTATGTTTTTATTTGTTCTCTAATCCATCATCGTATGTTTCAAAGAAATTCTATCAGTGGTTTTTATTTTTTATCCTCTGAGCTGTCCCTCAAACAAACAAAAAAAAGAATTCAAGAATTGAATGAGAAAGAAACTTGAAAAATAAAGCATATATTTAAAGCAACAATTCAAAGGTGGATTGTCTATTGAGAAAGGGGAGTATGAAATAACCATCTAACAATGGCTGTCGCATGCCACTTGGATTCTGATCCCTTCTGTGTCCCTTGTCTCTGGCAATAAGCCTGGGTAGGACATTTTTTGTCTTTGGAGTTGAAATGAGCTGAATATTTACTGTATGTGGTCTGATTAGCTTTTGAAGGCCTGTGGTGTGACTCTAAATCCCAAAGTTACCTTGATATAGTTTATTTGGGAAATCAGTCTCCAACTGAGCAGAATTCAAATTGAAATAAGATCCTGCTTGCCAGAGCAGGTTTTTTTCCCCTCTTACTATATATCAGGAATGCATTGGAGGATGTAGTTTCTCTATGAATTCTCACTCACTCTTACTGACAGATTTGTGGGCAGATATTGAACAGGATTTTGACAGATACCACCTGGGTCTTCTTTTGTTGCTACCTGCTCTTAATACATTCATATCAACCATGAGATAAATGCTTTATAACTAAACTTAAATAATAAGCTTTCTCTTCCTCCTTTATCTTCTAATCAGAAATGAATTTTTAAAAATAAAAAAAATTAAGAGTTCAATTGGTACATAATTGTACATATTCATGGAGTATTGTGTAATATTTTGATACATGTATATAATGTATAATAATCATATCAGGGTAATATGGCATATCAATCACCTCAAACATGTATTTTTTTGTGTGTTCAAATATTGAAAATCCTCTCTTCTAATTATTTTTAAATTCATTTATTTCTTGCTGTAGTTACCTGGCTGGGTTATAGAACACTAGAACTTAATTCTCTTATTGAATGTATCTTTATACTTGTTAACCATCCCTTCTCTATTCCTTCCTGCTCCCTACCCTTTATAGTGCCTGGTAACCACTATTTTACTAAAAAGCGTTTTGGGGCATTTTTTTTGCACCAGGTTTGAGGCTCAAACCCAGGGTCTTATGCATGCTAGGCAAGCATTTTGTCACTGAGCTACTGCCCCAACCCTCTAAGAAGTAAATATTTGTAAAGAAAAAAAATCTTTCATGACCCAAATGGAATAAGATGTAATTATAAGCACAGTAAAAAAATATTTTGAAACTTAGTACTATTGTTCCTTTTAAATCACTATTATTTCTTTGTAGTTAAAATATGTATCAGGAGGTTTATAATTACACTGGGGGAATATTCAGCTATAAAAACAAATATGAAACCATATGGTATTTAGGTGACCTTGGTAAATATGTAATTCTGTCTTGGCCAGTTTGCAATCAAAATATATATCCCCTCATTCCTTCAGGGAGCCTGTTAGTGATCATTCTATCCATGTAGGGTGGATAGCGCTGTTGAGAGCAGCACAGAGAGGGATGTGTCCATGACAGATGTGAATGCATGTAATAATGCTGTGTTTGTTTGAAGCAAAGGAACTTTCCATTCTGGTGGGCAGGTCTGGTAAAGTTTCCCAGGGAAGCTGTCCTTGTGTTTGGTCTTGAAGTAGAAAATGTTGTCAAGTGAAGATTGGGTATAGACACAGTAGGCAGATATCAGTGGGAAAGAATAGTGGGAAGGCAAGTTCTCTTTAGAGTAGGTGGGCACTAAAGCCCTGGGTTGGGGGCAAGGTAGGATTTTCAAGACGGGCCAGGAATGTAGGAATGTAGCTTCTTTTATTTTTGCTACTGGGGATTGAACCCAGGGGCGCTTAACCATTGAGCCACATCCCCAGCCCATTTTATTTTTTATTTTGAGACAGGGTCTCACTAAGGTGCTCAGGGCCTTGCTAAGTTGCTAAGGCTGGCTTTGAACTCACAATCCTGCCTCAGCTGCCCGAGTCACTGGGATTACAGGCATGTGCCTCCACACCCAGCAAGGACTTTATTTTATATGAAAGGAACTGTGGGGGATTTCTTTTGAGTAGAAAACTGTCTTAAAAAATGTTGTTATTCTTCCTTGAAACCACATGCTTTTTCTCTGTAAGACCCCACTACCTAATAATTCATTAGGATTATTAAAATTTTAAAATTTTGTAGGAACTTTGGTTTCTTTGTCACGCACACATCTTTCTTTTATTCTCTGGAGTCAGTATTTAATGCAAGGCTTATCACAGCCGAACCTCGTGGCTTTTTTTTTCCTAAGGAATTTTAATTATTATATTTTATATTATTGGCAGATGTTGAAATAATAAATAATAAATGCGACATCTGCAGCAAGTGTTGCATTCTTGTTCCTGTCGACAAACCAATGCATTTTTCTCAATCCTTTCCCTCAAGGAAATTAGACTCTTGCTTTTATCTTAAAATTTATATTTTTCTGTTTTCAAATATTAGAAAGTCTCAGGAATGTCTTATTCTCATTGGAAACTTCTTTTGATTAAAAAAATAATCAGCGTGTCTCTATTTTCTAGGCTCAACAAGAGGTTAAAGAGTGAACCCCTAAAATCTGACTTCACAATAGATTTACAACATGAGGTATGTCGTGGTTGATTTGATTAAAAGTTTCAGTAGTCAAGAATTTGTGTACTTTGATATAAAAGCTATTTTGTATTCCCGAAGAGTGCATTTTTCTCTACTCACAACCATTTTCTCTCCACTGAAGTAATTTGACAGCACTCCAGTAAACTAGGTTCTTCTATTTTTAAGCTGATTTAATTATTTAGGTAGAGAATGAGAAGTGAAAAAAATTGTATCTTATGATTCATGATTCTTTGTTTTTAAAGTAGGTGGAAAGGTCCAGAGGTGAATTTTTTAAAGTATGCAAAAATGTCATTCAAAGCACTGGTAGTCTTACTTGTTTTTTTTTTTTTTTTTTTCTTTTTTTTGGTACTGGGTATTGAACCCAGAGGTGCTTAACTACTGAGCCACATCCCCAGCCCTTTTTTTGGTATTACATTAGAGCCAGGGTCTCACTGAGTTGCTAAGTGCCTCACTAAGTTGCTGAGACTGGCTTTGAACTTGCAATCCTCCGGCCTCAGCTTCCGGAGCTACTGGGATTACAGGCGTGTGCTACCATGGGCTTACTTGGTGTTTTGGTTGTACACTTGCTGTTATAAACTGAATGTTTGTGTCTGTGCCCGAAATTCATATGTTGAAACCTAGTCCTTAATGCTGTATTCTATGGGGAGGTTATTAGGTCATGAAGGTGGAACCCTAGAAATGAAATTAGGGCCCTTATAAAAGAGACCCCAGAGAGCCTACTCACTCCTTCTACCATGTAAAGGCAAGAAAGGGGCCATCCATGAACCAGGAAGCAGGCTTTTATTGGACACTGATCTTGAACTTCCCAGCCTCCAAATCTGTGAGACATAAATTTCTGTTGCTTATTAGCCACTCAGTCTATGGAACCAGCCCTAATGGACTAAGACGTGTGCCTTTGTTGTGTGTCTGTTTAGCTGTCTGGAACAGATTTGAGCCAAATAGCCCTAAGCAGGCAGCTATAGTGTGCCATGCTGGGCAACAGCACCTATTGTTCCCTTGGCCTTTAGTGGATATCTGTGATGAGTTGTCGTGGAAGCACCTTAGACACCTATAAGAATGCCCCTTTTGACATTTCATCCATGGGCCTGAAACAGACCTGAACCATGGAGGTAAATCTGGATGTTTTTCAGGCCAGCAGTACTGGCAGCCTTCCAGAGGTGAAAAGGCACCACCCCATGAGCTGGGGCTGGGGCTCAGTGGTAGAGCACTCGCCCCGCATGTGTGAGCCCTGATCCTCAGCACCATAAAAATAAATAAAATAAAGATATCGTGTCCATCACAGCTTATGTATATGAAATGGCTTAGTTGAGAGAAATATACTTTTTTAAAAAGTCATTTTTCTCTTCTACAGAAAGGAAAGAATGACTTAAAAACCAGGTCTGTCTCGATATGTTTAATGAGAAGTAAGTTCTGGAACAGATATCCAAGCTTGAACAGATATCTAAACATTGAAGGGTAGTTTTAAATACCTGTGAGAAAATGACATCACTTGCCCTGAGGCTACCTGTTCACTTCTCCCAGTTGTAGTACTCTTTGGAAATAGATAAGATAATATTTTGTCCCCAAATTAGAGAATATAGACCATTTTTCCACTTCCAAAATTTAAGCATGAACTAGGCCATAAGGTATGCCTAAAAAGATTTCCTATGACTGTCTTATAGACTAAAATAATACTAAGTTAGACATCAATAACAAAAGCATGGTAATAACACACACAGGTGTATTTGGTCATAATGAAAAAAAAAATTAAGTGGGTCATTCTTAAAAAATAAAACCCAGAGTAAGCACTCTTGAATTCTCTCTCTCCCTTACTTTTGTTCATGCTTTATGACATTTTGCATAGTTTTGCATCCTTTTGGACTTTATATAAACAGAAATGCACCAGGAATATTGTTTTAATTTGAGACTGATTCATGTTGATTCTGCAGCTCTAATGAGGTTACTTCACACACTATGGCTCTCTTCTATGGCCTTACCACAATTAATTTGTTCTTCCTCCTGTTAGTGGGCTTCTGAGTGGCTCCTGGCTTTTTGCTCTTAGGATCATTGTTCCTATGACTATTTTTGACATGTGCCATAAGGATCATCTGCAGGTTTCTCTAAGGCAGAGGCTTATAAACTTTTTTTTTTTTTTTTACTGTGACCCACTTTAAAAAAATACATTTTTCATTGTGACCCATATTTGTGTGTGTTGTTACTGATGTCTAAGTTTAGTGTCATTGTCGTCTATATCACAGTCATTTGAAAAATTTTTAGGTTTACTTTATGGCCTAGTTCATGTTCGGTTTTTATAAGTAGAGAAAAAGATGCATATTTTCTAATTTGGTGTATAATTCTCTTATCAGTCTGATCAAAGAAGGTATTAATTGTTCCTTTAAGATATTTTACTTCCTCTTCCTTTGTTGCTTCATTTCATTTGTTTTGTCTGCTTGATTTATCATTTACTAGGGGAGCAGTGTGGTGCTCTTCCATAATAATGGTGACTTTGACAGCGTGTCCTTGTGGAACTGCAGGTTCTTGCTCTTTGTCCTCTGAGGATATGTTATTTGGTGCATGCTATTTTAGAAATGTTTTATCTTCTTAGTGAATTTATCATCTTTAGTGATGCTCTTTGTCATAATGCATATTTGTCGACATGAATACTTCTACACTAGCTTTCTTTTGCTTCATAATCATTTTTCAATTTTTTTCTTTCAACTTTGTTTTGTACTTTTCTTTAGGATAAGGACATGCTTTTAAAGAGGACATGCTTTTTTCCTCTCTTCTTGGTTTGATTATCTTTATGCCACATAGCAAATTTATACTTACATTGATTTTCATTACTAATATATTTGAATTGATTTCTATCACTTTATCTCTCCTCCATTTCTCTCTATTTTTCTTTTTAAAAACTTCTTATTTTTTTACCTTTCTTCTTATTGGTCCATATTTTTTCTGCTTTATTATTTAGGAAATTTAATCCCTGTCTTCTGTACTTTATAGGTTAAAATGTTTTAACATGCTTTCCTAACCCAATAATGGCTATTTAGTAGCCAGAGAACCAAAGGGCCTGAGAGTAATTTAACTCAAATTGTGGCACTGTTTATATGTTATTATTATCCAGTATCTCTGTGTCTTCTCCCTTTTTATCCTGAGCCTTAGCTGTGGTCATTTCTTCATGTAGTTAACCTTTGTGTTACCATCATTGTGTGTTTGCCACCTTTGGTACCATCCCATCTTGCTTTGCAGACCTCCTAACTGGGGGCACCTTTATTCTTCCTGAAACACATATTTAGAATCTCTTGTAGTGAGGTGGTAATCCTGTTAATCCTTTTTTTTTTTCTTTTAGTATTAATTTTTAACTTCATTGACACTTTGATCCATTTCAATCTAACGCTCTTCTGAGAAGGCATGTTACACTGACCCTTGAGATATTTTGTACCTTCTTACACTTGTGGTGTTGGCTGAGTTCCTTCCTCACCGCTGGTCTCCTGTCTTTGCAGATTGCCCTCTACATCTGGGACAAAGGCGGAGGACCTCCCCTAACCCCTGTGCCTGAGTTTTGTACAGACCGTGTGGATTCCCACTGTGCTACCCAATTCCGTTCTTTTCTACCGCTTTGTGTAAGTAATAGAAGAAAGACTTCCTTACAGATCAAAGGAAAATACATGCTGTACATAACGTTGTCCTAGTATACTTTAAATACTAATGTGTGTGTGTGTGTGTGTGTGTGTGTGTATCAACCTTGCCCAGGGCCAGGCCTGGACCTTATTTGTCAAGAAATAACAACCCTGTAGGTAAGTGCTGTTATATCCCGTCTTCCACGTGAGAGAAGGCTGCGCAGCTAGAGGGAGGGCATGCGGATTGTGTGGGCGTCTTCTCACTCCAGAGCAATTTTCTTTGGCCATACAGCATCTGTTGATTGGCATTTTTATTCCATGCTCTGGAAAGGCAGTTTCAAACATTTTCTTGGGCATGTAGGCCTTGCCCACAAGCCCATCCCCTTTACTCTCTCAGCAGGTAACCCTGCTCTTGACCTCACCTGAGACTATTCAGAACTTCTCATGTCAGATCTGTGTCCCAGTCCCCAGAAGGAGCCTGAGGACCCCAAAACTCACTAGATTGTTAGCAGTTTTTTCTCATGAGGGAAAATATACTCAAAACACTCAAATGGTGTATGTTGCTCTTAGCTCAGTCACCCAGAAGGGGGTGTGTGCCATCTTAAAAGGTACACAGACACAGCACAGTGCGACCATGGAGGGAATCCGCACTGTTTACAGTCCCTGAGGAGGAAACTGTTTACTGGATGGTACCAGAACTACCCAGGGAGGGGCTAGGGGAAAGGTTAGGCTGGGCTACAATCTCACTGTTCCAGAAACATTCTAAGATTGAAATTGGTAGGAAAATAGGTTTTATTCAACACCACCTTTAAGGGAAGATAGAAGAAGCTTACTGTTTTCAAAGTTCCATCTTCAGCTGGGTGTAGTGGCCCACGCCTATAATCCCAGCAACTTGGGAGACTGAGCCAGGAGGATTGTAAATTTGAGGCCAGCCTCTGCAATTCAGTGAGACCCTGTCTCAAAATAAAAAAAGGGCTGGGGATGTAGCTCAGTGGTCCATGGTAAATTTAACCCATGTACCTGGGTTAAATCCCTGGTACAAAAAGAAGAAAAAAAAAAGTTCCATCTTCAAAATCTCTGAAAGTACACAAGCTTCCAAAGGAGAGGAGACAGTGAAATGTGACAAAGGGCAAGAAACGTAGCTGTGGGGATTCACTTGCCCGGTGCTGCTGCAGAGGCCTGGTTGGGGCAGGGTGATCTCATTCTCAACTCCCTTGGCACTTGAGAGAGAGTGTGTGTGTGTGTGTGTGTGGGGGGGTTTGCCATCATTTAGTTTCCATTCTTGGCTTGAGGAAATTGTTCTTAATTCGGGGAGAGGGGAGTTCAAATTCAAATTCATCCTGTTTAAAAGCCAGTCTTTCTAAACATAATGCCTGCTTGCTCTTTAATGCTACTGGTGCTCTGAGTGACATGACAGGGCTGGGGTTAGGTGTCACTATAAATCAGCCCCAAATGATTGAGGAAGTGTGTCTGAATGTTATTACAGGCCTAAGACAGGAACAAAGGGGTCAGAACACCTGCCCCCAGGAAGCAGAAGGTGTGCTGTGTGCTGTTGACAGATCCCCCTGTGTGCCCCTTTCTTCTGCATGATCCTCCCTACCCACGTTTGAAGTGATCCATCTTTGGCAGAGGGCAGAACATCCTTGGCTCAGACCTGGGAAGCCAGTAAAAAGGCCGTAAAAATAACTTTCAACATCAAACTAAGGCCAGGCCCAGAAAACAGAGTCATCACTGGTTTTGTACTAAATCATCCGTCTTCTTTCTCCTTTTGTCAAAATCTTCACCAGCTGGGGAAAGAAAAGGAAACACAAGTAACATTTATTAATCACCTGCTATGTGCTTAATTATTACAGTATCAATGACAGCCATAAGGGCTTATTATTTCTCTTTTCTAAATGAACAGACAGTTCAGAGAGCTTAAACATGGCACACAGTCTATAAATGGTCCATCTGTGACCCAGGTCCAGAGATTATGCTGTCAGCTGGATGACAGTTTTGGAATTTTTTTTTTTTTTTTTTTTTTTTGTGTGTGTGTGTGTCCCTGAAACTTTACCTTCAATATAGGCTTGACATTCCTGATATTGGTTACCTTGAGCTCTAGCACTTGTGAGATCTAATGTGAGCAAAGATAACACTGACTCATATGTATTCTTTTTCTTTTTCTTTTTTTTAGGGACAACCTGTGAAGAAGGAGGATATTTTTGTTGCAGTAAAAACATGCAAGCAATTTCATGGTGAAAGAAGTATGTTTTGGGTTATTCATTTTTATTGAACTTTTAAATCCAAACTGCCTTTGAAATAAAGTGCAAACCCGGTATAAACTCAAGAAAGGCGCAGGATGCTGAAATGATAGCAGTTACCTAATCAGCATTCTTCATCCTACCTCTACAATCACTGAGCTCAATTAGGAAGGAAAACTCTGTATTGAAACACGAGTGGCCAGTGCCCTTCTAAATACCGTTTAGAGCAACGTTTTAATTAGAATGGAAAAGCTCAGCTGTGGCAATCTTGGAGACAATGTGTGAACTTTGTATGTCCATTTTGTCCTATTGTGTCCATTCTCTGAACTGCATGAAGAATATCAGAGAGAGGGGATCTCAAATAACAGAACCAACAAGAATATCTTCTTTAAGGCTCTGCCTTTTTAAAAATACTTATTCCAAATGCACATGTTGGCACTTTTTAATAAAGGTATATATCCGCTCATGAGTAGATTTATTGGAGAAAAAGGAAACAGCTACTTTTGGAACAGGGGCCCTTAAGGAAATCCTGGCATGCAAATGAAGATTGTTTTGATTCTCTCTTGGTGTCATTACAGAATTGCGCTAGTTATGGTGCTAATGTTTTTTTTTTTTTTTTAAACCCGTCCTAAATATAAATAGACATAATTTCTCTCTTTTTACACCTCACTTCAAGCAGCACTTTTCTGATATTGAAAATTAGGCAGTCTTTTGCATTTTCTAATTTTAACACATATTTTAATTTTTTTTTTCCCATGAAAAGGCTGTCGATTTCACCCAGGGTGTGATATTTATGTAGGAGAGGCTTCTAAACCAGCTGTCATGTTCATGGGATGCAGCAGTGGGGGAAATTCACTTACATATTTTCTGTGATAACATTATGCATACAAATTATATTTTAAAGGGTAAGATGTTTTCCAAACAAAGGAATATAATAACTTGGGATTATAGTATTGCTTAAGACATCAAGATAAATTAAAATCTTACAATCAGCAAATCTCTTAAAATATCTTAAAAACCTTCATATTTGCCAAAAACAGTCATGTCAAATTTCAGATCCTATTAAATCTGACTAAATATATGCATTCATTATGCAAGAAGTTCTAAAATAGTCATTCTTAAATATTAGTTCTTAATTCTAAAATATTCTTAAAATATTAACAGTGACTATAGCAATTAAAATAAGATTTTTGTTTATTATACTCCTAATCTAAATTTATTTTCTTTTAAAATGCTTTTTTCATAGTCCAGAAGGGCTCTTTGTGGGTTGTCTTGTGAATAAGTATCTTTACAAAAAGGTGATTGGGAAGTGAACTAGACTTTTTTGTTTTCTTTTGTAGTAAGCAGAAATAGTTGAATTGATGTCATTGATCTTGAGGCTGCTCTGGAATAGTGATTATTTTTGTAATAGAGATGTTAAGAATGCTGGTGTTGAGGGGTGGGGGCAGGGGTGGTATTCTCCTTCAAAACACATTTTTTTCAGGTTACAGTGAAGCAGTGAAATTAGGGACCCTCTCTGTTGTATTTTTCCTATTCTACAGAAATGGGGGAAAAGTTTGTTAATTTTTATTTAGTAATTTTGAGTAATTTCGTTTTCTGATTCCTTTGTTTATATAAAATTGAGATGATCTTTTCAGATATCTGGCATGCAAATGAAGGTTGTTTTGATTCTCTCTTGGTGTCATTACAGAATTGTGCTAGTTATGGTGCTAATGTTTTTTTTAAAACCTGTCCTAAATATAAATAGACATAATTTCTCTCTTTTTAACACCTCACTTCAAGCAGCACTTTTCTGATATTGAAAATTAGGCAGTCTTTTGCATTTTCTAATTTTAACATATATTTTAATTTTTTTCTCATGAAAAGACTGTCGATTAGGGACCCTCTCTGTTGTATTTTTATATTTGAATTTTTTAATATTATTTTATATATTTTATATTAAAATCCTCCTGAATTTTATATTTGAATTTTGAGTCCAAGACCTTTAAAAATCACAACATCTTAAAAACCTTTTAGAAATATTGGAAACAAACCTCCCAGATACATTTAGCTTTTTTTGTTTGTTTGTTTATTTGTACCAGGAATTGAACCCAGGGGCACTTAACCTCTGAGCTACATACCCAGCCTTTTTTTTTTTCTTTTCTTTTTAATTTTGAGTCAGGGTCTTACTAAGTTGCTTAGGGCCTCAGTAAGTTGCTGAGGCTGGCTTTGAACTTGTGATCCTCCTGCTTCAACCTCCCCCAATTGCCAGGATTATAGGTATGCGCCACCATGTCCCACTTAGGAGGCTTTTGTAGTTGGGTTTCTCTCACCAGACATCTGTCAACTTAGGTGCATGTATTTGAAAAGGTAGCTTAAGGTGCAGCATAAGGATCTTTGGTCTCCATTTTGCTCTATGGAAATAAAGCCTGCCTCACCAGTGGGTTAGCGTCTAAGTAACCACTCATTGGCCCGAAGAATGAACCATCCAGTCATCCTATCAGTGACAAGGCCAATGCTGAGGTAATGGCTTCAAACTGCTGAACCTGGTTTATGTCTTCGGTTGTGTTTTTTCTTATATATTTGATCTTCTAATTTCATGTGGACAATTCCTCAAGATGTGATAATTGTTGGGAATTATCATTGGATATTGTAGGGAAAGCTGAACATGGAATGATCTACAACTGGTCAAATCCTCAAAGCCCATTGCGTAGGGGGGACAGGACTCGGATTTCCTGGCTCCTGAATCCCTGTGTTCTTTCTACCAGAGCACAACTATGCTGTAATCTCCTTGGATGTAGGACAAGCTGACCTTGATAAGTTGTCTTTAATATTCATGTTGATGCCCTTCGGGGTTCAAGGTCAGTTTGGAGTTGGCAGGAAGCTAGGAAAGTTCAGACCTTTCATTTTCAGGGGCAAGGAATTGAAACCTGAGAGGTCTGCAGTACACCTAGGGCTGGGAATTTAGGCTGCCCTCTTCCAAACCCGTTACTGCTAATGTCAAGCCCAATACATGGTCTAGGATATTTTTAGCTTTTTCCTATTCTCTGTGCACTCTGGTAGAAATACTTGAAAGAACATCAGGCCAAATGGCACCAGAGGGGGAATAAAATAGAAAAGAAACTCTATTTATCTTTGAAAAATTGAGAGTGGGCCATACTGTGAGTGATGAGCACTCCCTTCTCTTTCATTAGTATTGGTTACCTCCCTGGATGAAGATGGGGAATGGACAAGCAAGGAAAAATACATGTTGGATTCTTTTTTTTTTTTTTTTTTAGTACTCTCATGGACAAATTGATAATAAAAGGAAGTTCAAAGTTTTTTAAAAATGTTTTACACTTTGTTTTTGTTTTTTGCCTAACCATGAAACATCTATGTTATGGCAATTGTCCGGATTCTGATATAAATGAAATAGAATAATCTTAGAACACAGAAAAAAATGCATTTAATATTTTGGCTCCAGAAAGTAATATATGTTGACACTGTTGAAACTGCACTCTCTCAGAGAGGCAAACATTTAGCAGGATTTTAAAGAACTTTCAAAGTGTTACATATGCTGATGAATTGGGTATAGCGTGCACCAAGCAAGAAAAGATTTCTGGAGTTTTAATATGCAGCTGGATTGCTTCCTGTGGGGTCTGTGTTTTTCACTGCATGGTAACATGAGCTGTCTGAGAACCTCAAGCACATTCCTGACACCTTCTGCTCTGGGGTGCATGAGTCTCACCTACCTCATGGTGAACACCAATTTTGCTCATCAACTGATGGATTGTGAGCCTCTCCCCTCCTGCAGTTTTGCCCTAATTAAAGAGGTTAAATTGCTATTTGCTCAGCCTTTAGTTCCCTATCACAGCTTCCTGAACTCTTAAAAATATATATACTTTATTCCTTTCAGATGTAAAGAAAATACAAAACCCATTTGCTGTCTTTACTGCTGTGATCTTGTCTAAAAGAGGCCTGTTGGAACTAATTTATTAAGAGGAATGTTGGGTAGCTGGCGTTTTCTTTGATGAAAGAAGCTGCAGGTACCAGGCACAATATGCTTATGTGAAAGGTGAGGCTTGCACTGAAATGCAGCCAGATGGAAGGCCCCGCTGGGGTCAGAAGAGGGGATGAGATGAGCTTTTGAAGAGCGGCAGGAGAGTCAGGCGAAGGCTGGCTGTGTTCTTGCTCCAATGTTGAATAGCTGATGTTCCAAATTGCCTAAAAATGTTGTTTTCAACCAGCCAGGAGGGCGGCTTCCCAGTCTTAAGTACGCCTCAGTGTTAAAATGAGGAATTAGAGCACACTCCTGTGTGCCCCTCTCTCTCCTGAGAAGCACAGCCAGGGTTTCATTTGCGGTCACTGAATCGTACACAGGGACACAAGGTTCATTTACCAATCAAAAGTAGCAGATTCCTCTAAATCAAAATAGCCATTCACAGTTGATTAATTGAACATTTATAAAACATTCAAGGATCAAATTCATTTTCATTCATAATATGATACAGTTTTGCAAGTGCATTCTCCAGGGGTAGAAACATGTGTTTCTGTACTTCATAGCGAGACACATCTTCTGCTTGGAAGATTTATGCCATCTGTGCAGCTAGGATTTGTTTTTAATAGCAAAATTTTTACTTTGCCCCTATTCTAAGTTTTCCTGTGGCAAACTTTCTTGAAAGAGGCATTCTTTACTACTTTGTTATGTGGTAGAAAGTATGATTCTCTTTCTTGCAAGCATGATATGTAGCTATCTTGAAGGGTTTTTTGTTTTTGTTTTTGTCTTTTAAAAATTTTTTTTAATTTAATATTTTTAGGAGTGCAGTGCCTTGGTACAATCTATAACATTTTGTAATAGTAGGATAAATTCATTTTAGAATTCAAACAGTTCTAATAAAATAGGCCAGTATTCTAAAAGTTTATTTAGAATCAAAGTTGGAAATAAAGCTGTAATTTGTTATTATAGAAGACTTAACTTAGTTTCAAATTCTTTATGGCTAGAAGGTATGATAAAAACACAGGAATTATATTGATGAGGGCAGAGACAGAACAAATTGTTTAATGATTTGGCATTATAGAATCTTACAACATTAGAATGTTTGGCCTGTTTTTAAATGATTGATAATGATGGTACCATCCTTGTATCATAGGATGTATTGTCATTATGCATAAAATCTTCCTTTTTTAACTAGTTTCTAAAAAACAGTCTTAGGCCTTTTATAGAGACACCTATAACTACAAAATTCAGACCTCCTTCAACTGTTTATTGAGCAACTACTATGTCCTAGGCACTGTATCAGGCATTGGGGAATAAGTCACAGACACACAGTAGCTCTTACCATTATGAAATTTCTATTTCAAACTAAAACCAAAAGTACACAGGAACACAAGTTTTCATTGTCAGGTAGTAATAGTAGAGCAGAAGTAGTTAGGTAGAGCAGAGAGCTAAGTCACACTTGATTTTTATTTCAATTTCATTTAAATCAACTAATTGAGAATAAATACCTGTGCTGTTTAATAAAGCTCTTAGAGTAAAAAAGATTGGAGGCTAAAGTCTGAGGAAATTGAAAGCAGAATTTGCATTGCCTGCTGGACATGCTGGGGTCTGAGGAAAGTTCTTGACCTTACCTCACAGCTTCTTCCAGGTTATGCAATAGGCATTTTACCCAAGAGAATGAAATTTTAGTGAAGACGAACTGCAGGGTGCCTTTCTCGGGTAAGCCCTCTTACTTATTATGTGCAAAGTAAACTGCGGCTTGGCTTGCCTGGGTTAAGATTTTTGTTGTGCTAAAATTTGGGAAGTAGAAGTGTGAGGTGTTTGAAATTTTTTATTTTTTTGTCCTCCAGCATCTTTCTCTATTATTTATGACATCTCTGACCATTTTGGCAGCGAAAAATCTTTATAACTATGTGCCTTTCTATAGTTGCAAAACAGTTACACTTTAATGTTTAAAAATATTTAGTGGATAATTTGGTGATTATTTTATAAATATTCAGAATTCATAATCATTTTTCTTTCATAAAAGTTGGTGGATAGTGGATTTTAAAAGAACACACTTTTATATTTTGTATATAAATGTTGTCTGAGCTGGGCTCTACATTTGCTGATTTCCATAACTAAACATTTAAATTTTACATTGCACTGAGAATTTTTGCATATAATGGGCTTTAATTTGGGTTGGGAAAAAGGAAAAGAGGTAAGATCTGATAAAATCTCAAAAAAGGAAGTGAAGCCCGGTGTGTGCAAGCCACACCTGTAATCCCAGTGGTTTAGGAAGCTGAGACAGGAGGATCCCAACTTCAAAGGCAACCTCAGCAAAAAGCGAGGAGCTAAGCAACTCAGTGAGACCCTGTCTCTAAATAAAATACAAAAATAAAAAAGTGGGGGGCTAGGGATGTGGGATTTGGCTCAGTGGTCGAGTGCTCCTGAGTTCAATCCCTGTACCAAAAAAAAAAAAAAAAAAAAAGCAAGTGAAGATTTGCTTCATTAGTTAAAGATCTTAAATTAACATGGTTAAAACAACAACAGAGCTGGATTTGTTGGCACATGCATGTAATCCCAGCAGCTCAGAAGCTGAGGCAGGAGGATTGCAAGTTTGAGGCCAGCCTCAGCAACTTAGTGAGACCCTATCTCAAAATAAAAAGAAAAGGACCGGGGATGTGGCTCAGTGGTTAACTGTGCCTGGGTTCAATCCCCAGTACCAACAAAAACAAAAACAACAGCAGAAACCCCTTCTCAAGGTTCAGAGATGCTCAGATAGTAATTAAAAAAAAAATTTTTTTTTTGAAGAAAATAATTACTTAGATAGTCAGCCAGGTGAATGAATGTGAACTAGGGATCATTTTACACATAAGATATGCAGACCACTACTGTTGAGCATCTAAACCTAAAATACAAAAATCCAGGAAATTTTTCTATTGTTTGTGTTTATTGTGGTATAGAAAAATAATTTATTTGTTATCGACAAGAATTTTAAAGTCTTCAGTGACTCTCAATTTTATTTCTCTCACGTTTTTCAAAAGTGTGACCCTAATATAAGTCATCACATACAGCTTCTCAGAGGCAAGGCCATGCTTTCTCTGGGATTGAGGGATCCTGGTGGTGTCTTGTGTGGGAACATGCATGGCTTGACAGGGTCCTCCTGTGCTCCACTGTTAAGAGGGTTGAATTTGCATCTCAACCAGAACCACAATGACTGTTCCAGTCCTTAAAAGCATTTCTGTTTCCTACCTGCCCACAACACGTTTAAAAAATCCATTTGTAGGTAGAATAACCTATTGGGAAAAGAAGAGACATTAGTTAAAATTCTCCGAAACACAAGAGTAGTATTAGACTAGAAAATTGGTCATTGTAGGGAAGTAAGTGCATTTATCACAGGAAATGAGAACTGCTTGGTTCTAGGGGACATTGAAAATGCTCTAAGAAGAGGGTTTTGGTTGTGTGCAGTTAGCAGTGAACAGTGCTGGGACTTCTCAGGGCCCTGGGACAGGGAGAGGCGGAGGTCACCTTTGTCCTTCGCAGGGGATCCTGCTGCCATTTTGAGTTTTTAAGCTTCCCGTTATACTGTGCCAGTGACTGTCACCTCTGTTTTTCTCAGTACCCATCATAAAGCTGACTTGGGAGGGACAGGCGAGCCTCATCGAGTACTACAGTGACTATGCGGAAAGTTCCATCCCTACTGTGGATTTGGGAATTCCCAACACAGAGAGAGGTGAGAGCTTTGTTCTTACTCTTCCCCTTAAATCAAATCCTCATTCTGAAATACAGCAAATAAGGATAAAGATAAAATATTTTTAAGTACTGAAATTTTTACTTCTTGTCAGTTTGTTTTTTCTTTTCTTTCTTTCTTTTTTTTTTTTTTTTTTCTTATTCTAACAGCCAACATCTATACCCACAGATGCAGTCTGGTTCCTCAAATTAAAGACTCTGTAGTACAAACAAGGACATTGCAGTCTATTTTGGGTCTGTTTCATTGCTGTGATCCAGAGCTGAGCACTAGGTCTTTCATTCTGCCACAGTGCAGCCCGGACATATGGGACGTGCAAAGTTAACTTGTCATCTTCCCACAGACAGCCTCCATCTTTTTAAGCCGACGGTCCAGTTCACATCTCGTGTGCCTCTCTGAGTAGCTCCTGTCCCTATTCTGCACTGTTAGCTGTAGAGTAAGCTCTATGTTATTTTTTAGTATCTTGATTAGCAAAGCGTTGGAAATATACCTGCTTTTCTCTTCAGATGGCAGGTTTTCTAGTTAAAAAATTCTTATTTTTTTAAAAAAGGAAAGTAGACATTTGGCCACCTCATTATAAGATGCTTTTTGTCCATCTGACTGTTAATCTAGTGTTCCCCCCCGCTCCATATTATTTTAGTCCCCCACCTCCTTTTATGAATAAAACAAAAAAAATTGCAGCCTGTAATTGCTGTGAGATTGAAAACTTTCTTATTTGTCTGGACTGAAGATACTAATTTTCTACTGCAAATTATCTGTGTGACCTCATGTAATTCCCCTAAGCTCTCCCACTTTCCATTTTCATTTTCTCATGTGTGAAATGACTGGCTTAGACTTCATGGCCTCTGAAGTTTTTCCTTGTTCTCTATGTCTGTGAAAATTTTTTGAGAATGCTACTTTCTAGGAAACTGTCCAATTTTTAAGATCCATGTTAACATCCAAGCTTGTAATTACTTATGAGAGTTTCAAACTAAAAACTTTAAAAAAATGAATTTACCTAGGTTAGAGAAAATAATGCATTTTAAGTTTTCTTCTTACCTTTCCTAGGTCATTGTGGAAAAACATTTGCCATTTTAGAAAGATTTCTGAATCACAATCGTGACAAAATACCATGGCTCCTCATTGTGGATGATGATACATTAATTAGGTAAGGAGTTGTTCTCATCCCAAGTGCTTTAAATTATACATATATCCATATTTGAAAGCTGTGGTGCCTTTGGAGTGTTCCAAGCCACTACTTAATGAGAGGGCAGCAGGAACCTACAGACTCTTGGTTGAAGAGATGGGGCTGAGAGACTCAGGAGACAAAGTTGTTAGAGGTTTTAGGACAGAGCACCAGAGAGGAGAGAGCACTAAAGATGTTCTAAGGAAGCTTTCAGAGTAATTAGAAAGGAGGGAGTTGTGGTGGATGCCCAAAGGGGCTGGGCTTGGGGCCTGTTGCCACCAGCCACACTGGAAAATCCACGATTGGCCGAGTATTGGGTAGAGTACACAGGAGAGTCTAGCTTCAATAGCAAGGACTAGTTAACCCTAGACCAAACACCACTCTAGTCCCACTTAGCAAATCTGAAAAAGAAAGAAGAGATGTAGGTATAAATCAGTCTGAAATAATCTTCTAGTCTTTCACCTTCTACAGATGAAAATTACATGGTCTGGTGTGCAAAACCCCACTGGATTGGATTAACAGCAAATTAGGCATTGTGGAGGACAGTGGTGAAATTCAAAACAGTACAGAAGAAAATGGTGAACTTAGAAGCATTGCAGTAATAAGTATCCAAAATGAATGAAACACAAAAGTAAAATATAATTTTAGAAAATGAACAGAGCATCAGTGAGACAGTTTCAAATGCATTTGGAGTCCCCCAAGAAGAGGGAAACAACATACATTTAAGGAAATATTTCCCAAATTTGATGAAAATCATAAACCCACAAATCCAAGAAGCTCAGTGAACCCAAGCCCAAAAGCAGAGCAGTAGTGCCTCCAAGACTGCAAGAGGGATGTCCTCTTCAATAACATCTCAGATAGCAGTTATTGTACCCATAGCCACGTCACTTAGGTCCCCAGTCTTTAGCCACTCCACTGGAAATGTTGCCTTATGATCAATTTGAACCTTGTTACTGTTCCTTTCAAAACTCTGATATCATCCTTGGTAATAATGAACTCTCTAAATTATCCTAAGTCCTGAGACTAAATAATCTGCAGGATTCAGGGCCAACCCCTCTTCTCCATGAAAAACAACAGCATGGAGGTAGTATTTCTGTTTTCACAGAAACATGGAGCTTTGACTTGTGGAAGATCAACACGTATTTGGGGACATGAAAAAATGCCCTGAATGCAAAATTTTTAAAAAAGGACAAAACAGGAAAGAGAGGAAACTAGTATTTAATACATTCAAGAAAGAAATAGAAGGCAAATTCATATCAGCAATTATAGCTAAATTATAAAACAGTCCAAAGCAAACAAATTACAATGAAATTTTAATAAGAATTATTAGAATCCTAAGTGTTTGTCTTTTTGCGAGTTGTTTATTTCACTTAGTGTAATATCCTCAAAGCTCATCTGTGTTGGAGCACATTGTTCAGTTTTTTTCCTTTTTAAGGCTGAATGATATTTCATTGAATGGGTGTACCATGTTCTGCTTCTCTATCCATCTGCTGATGGACACTCAGGTTACTTACACAGTTGAGCTTTTGTGAATAATGCTGCTATGAATTTGAGTGTGTAGGTGGCTCTTCAAGACCCTGGTCTCAATTCTTTGGGGTGTATAATGAGAAGTGGCATTCCTGGATCATAGGACAATTTAGTGTTGACTTCGGGGAAGCATGCTAATATGTTACACATTTAGAAATTAGTTAACCTAGATAGAAAAAAAAATCAACAAGGATGGGGCAAAAACGAAAACAAACTGGACCCAACTGTACTTCATGTGAAAATATAATCACGCTAAGAAAGAAAAAAAAAAAAAACTAATGCAAGTAATTTTTGAAGATAGTGTTTAAATATATACCTTCAGTCAAGAGTGAGAAGAAGGGAGGAACTACAAACAAATCCTGATTTTTTTAGTATAGGTCTGATTTTGGAAGTGGTGTGGGCAAAGCAATTCTGAAATTATTTTAGGTACATTATAGACTTGAATAGATGTTGATATTTTGGGGAGCCAGTTTTCTGAGTATGGAAGAGAATATGAATAAAGAACAGAGGAGGTCAAGGGAAAGCTTTATGGGAAGAGCCTGAAATTGAAAGAATTTATAATTTTTGTAAGAACTCACGATTTCTGAATTTTGTGTGTGTGTGTGTGTGTGTGTATGTGTGTGTGTGTTCACATATATGTTTCCTGGCTTTTTCTTCTGCAACAGGCTAGAAGCAAAGATACTCCAGAGTATTGAGACACTATTGCCTAGAGTTAGTAGTACAGCTTTCCTCACTCAAAGGAATCAGGGCTTCTCGGAGAGATGGCGAATGCCAGGGCCAAGGCAAGGCAGGCACAAAATTCATTCCAGGACATCTTTTTATATTAGAAAGCCAGGAGGTGTTAGGAGAAAGAAGTTGGGGGCTGGGTGGCAAAAAGGATGAGGAAGAAAAGAACATGTCATGAGGACACAGAAGGCAGCTTGAATGGGTTCCCTTGGCCAAATCTGGGACATGTACAGCATCAGTGTAATTGAAGACAGTAATGAATTATGAGCTATTAGAATTAAAAATCATGAGTCCATCCTTATAATAAATACATACACATGTACATAAATGAAGAGAAGGTGGGCTCTTGCTCGCAGGATGACAGTGAATTCTGGTCGATAAAGGTGCAGGGAGGGGTGGTGTTGGAAAAGTCATCACTTAGTAACCATCATAGTGAAGTTTGATTCAGGCAAGAATTGCTAATGCAAAACTAGAGCCCGTTTTGATGAGGACTGGGATATTTGTCTATGTTAAAGTTTCTACACAGAGATGCCTAGTAATGGCAGGGGAAATATAGATACTGTCCCGTGGGGCAACCAGACAGTGCCTTACTTGGATATCAAGTAAGTCTTACCAAGGATGGGCAGACGGACACATCTGTGCCACACACACACAGAGTCACTCATGACTGGGCTGCGAAACATCCGACAAGCCCAACATGCAAATGGTTCTGTTTGAGGAAAGGTGAGGGGCTTGTAGCATTGAAAACTACCAATGTTTCAAAAGACAAAGCATAGCTATGGAGCTGGTTCTAGATTAAAGAAGATTAAAGTGAAATGATTAATACATACAATAAGGGATCCTGGACTTCATTCTGATGCTATACATGACATTACTGAGTTAATTGTAAAATTAGACTAGTGATTGGCTTAGTAGAAGCACTGTGTCAGTGGTTCAGTTTTGAGTCATTATAACTAAGGCTTCTGTCTATATTTCTGTACAAGTCCATATAGACACCCGCCTTCTTTTCAGCTAAAATGCATAGGAGTGGACCATCTGGGACATATAGCAGGTGGAAGTTTAACTCTTTCAATAACTCATTGTACCAATGTTAATTTTCCTGAAGTTGCTTGCTTTTACCATTCTTAGGAAATATGCATGGATGTATATTGGAGGAAAGGAGCATGATATATACAACTTGCTCTCTAATATTTCAGAAGAGGGAAATATGCATGTACATATAATCAACATGTATGTGTTGTGGGAGGGTATCACCTGCAGAATCCATAGAATGATAAAACCGATAGGGTAAATGTTAAGCACTGGTTAAGTCTGGGTAAGGGATATAGGAGTTCTTTGTCCCAGTCTTGTAACTTTTCTGTAATCTTGAAATTATTCCCAAGGAAAAAGTTCAAAAATAAATACCATAATAGGTCAGGGTGGAACATCCTCTTTATTTTAAAGATCAATATTTAACAGTTAAAATGTGTCTACGCTACTAAGAAGCATCAGTGTAACTCTGATCACACTTGCTGTCGAGCGTCTCCATGCTGTTTTTCTTCATTTCTGTGCCTCAAAATTGCCTGAAATGGGAACAGATTGTTAAATGAAGTTCTTTTCCTGGATCAGTAGCCAAATCTCCATAGATAGATCTATCTGCTTTATCCACATTTCCACTTTTTAGCGAATATGAAGTATGTGATAATTATCAGACTCCATTTGTGATCCTTCGGCTTTAAAGTAATATTGTGAATATGGAAATAGTGTTATAAAGAAAAGAAACCCAGAGATGTTAAATTCCCATTATTTTAACCTTACAATTGAAGAAATTGAAGGTTTCGGTTTAAATCGACAGTTTCACAATATGCAGGAAAAAGAGAAATATCACAAAGCTCTTTTTCTTTTTTTCAGGTCCAGAAGTAGACATAAATTTGCCCTAGAAAGCTCTGGGTTTTTGCAGAACCTTTTTACAAACAAAAGGCTACAATTTCCTTACAGATCTTTATGAGTATATTCTCCATCACTGAATAGTATCAGCATACTTATTTGCCTTTCTCTGTGGAGCTATTTATCAGATGACTTGAAGACTGATTTCAAATTAGGTGTTTAGCATGTTTAACATGTATATTGAATATAGCATAGTGTCCAGAGATGGTGTTCTCTAGTCACTCAGAAACTGCCAACATTTTCAGAAGCCTTGACCTTCAGACAGAATGTAAACCTAGTCTGCAGACTTATAGACCCTTTGAGCACCAGCACTTGCAGGAGATTTTTTTTTTTATATATACATTCAATATTTTCTTCACTTTCACCTTCAACTTTATCAGCTGGGGCATTTCTGAAGGATGCATAAGTATGGATGGAAAAGGGACCTCTTTTATAACTCTCCACTAGTTACTGGAGGGGGTCCAAGGAGATAGATACCAGCAAAGGGAGACCTCAACTCCAGATGATGGGGTCCTTGACAAATGACTCAGAAAGGAATTTTAAGATGTGTCAGATACAGGCATAAACAGAGATTTACTGGGAAAGCAGGGAGTACATATTCAAAGAGAGTGGAGGCAGTCTGAAGAGTGAAAAGCAGCCTTTTGGGGTCTCTGGCTTTTCTCTTTAAAGGAAACTTTGTGCGATCCTTGGTTGTATCTTCTTCATTATTTGATCAATAGTTAATGTGGGGAAAGTACCCAATATATAGGTTTCCTCTCTCCCCTTGCTCAATCTAGTCTAAAAATACATGGATGAGTGGGCTCATTAATAGTACACAGGGCAGTGTTCATAAGTGGGTGAATTTTTAGTAACTTTAAGGTCAGGAGTAAAGATTTATAAATTTCCCAGAAATTTGGGAGTGACAGGCCTGGAGAACAATTGGCTAGGGGAGTATTAAAATTAAATTAAAATTACAGTATCCTTGTCTTCCTTTTGTCTCCTTTCTATCTTTTTATTCTACCTCATTATCACTACCCCATCCCCTTACAGAGAAGAGAAATTAGTCTTTAGAAAACTGGTGTGCTCAAGTTAATACTGCTTGTGGGAAAAGCTTTCACCGTTAGAGATTTAGAGGAACGCCTCATATCAACCCACCTCTTGGAGATTCATGATGCTCATGAATCACAGTCTGAGACACATGCCAAAGTTTGGCTCATTAGAAATTTTTGCAAAGTTATTGACCATGGAAACTTTTTTTTTAAGGATCAGTGATTAATATCTTAAAGAATGCTATGCCCTGGTGATGTGGGACCTCAAAATCTCCAGAGGCAACAGTAGGAAGACTTTATAAGGCATCTCTAAGTGATGGAAGTCCTTAGAAGGGAAAACTTGCCTTTCTTCTCACCAACCTTTGCCACTGCATTAAAAATGATTTCTAGCTTTTATTTTTCTGGGAAATCTTTTTATTTCATCCTCATAGTAGCTATAGTTGCAGGCATTGTTCTGTCCAGCTCATGGATATTCTCACTGCCATTTGTGAGCTGTTTAGACACATAACAAAGACTGATGGGGGCAAAGGGCATTTAAAGGGATGCACAGAGACCAAAAGTTCATGCCCTGGGGTGGTATTACTGAGTATTGGTGGGTGTGTGTCATAGTCTGAGGATTTCCAGGAAAGCCTCACTGTCCCAATTCTTTCCTTACCTTCCAGCTACATGCTGGGCATAGCTGTCCCCAAACACATTTATACCTCACAGTTCTTTTTGGAACATTTAAGGATTTAAAAAACAGAAACAACCAAGTCCACCTGAAAAGGTGTAAGGATTAGTTCATACTCACCTGCAGGTAGGATGGGTGGAAGTGAGGTTTATAGCACACTGGCCACCTCATGCCACTGACCCGCCACCTACTCCCCCACATGAGGCAGCCGGGTCCTGGCAGAGGCTGCTTCAAACTGGGTAGTGAGCATCTGGTTTCTCAGTTTCTCTTTTACTTCCAGTAATGTACAGTGTTCATACATTTATTTTTTTTTTTGGGGGGGGTCTTTAGTAATCCATTTATTCCATAAATCACTTGAATTTCATCCCAGCATTTTCCTTATATAGAGCTATGTAACAAAAAGAGGGAGATGTAAGAACTATGAAATATTTATTTTGAGACTACACATGAAATAAATAATTATTACTTATGTTCTCTTTGGCATCTCAGCATCTCCAGGCTCCGGCACTTGCTTAGCTGCTACGACTCCAGTAAACCCATAGTCCTGGGAGAGCGCTACGGATATGGCCTGGGCACTGATGGCTACAGCTATGTCACAGGAGGAGGAGGGTAAGTGTAAGCATGGCTTTTTACAAATACAGTCAACTCTCAGTGTCCGTGGGGGATTTGGGTCCAGGACCCCAGAACGGATATTCTAGTCCCTTATATAAGTTGAAGTATTTGCATATAATCTATGTACATCCTACTGTATACTTTAACCTCTGGATTGCTTGTAATACCTATTACTATGTAAATGCCATGGACGTAGTTCTTATATTGTGTTATTTAGAAAATAATGACAGGTAAAAATGTCTATGTCACCCTAAGAGGTTGGAGGGGTTCTCAGTTGGGAGACCTCAATTCAGCTCTGGGGGGTTCCTTATGCAGAAGAATTTCAGCACTTCAGTCAGAGACACAGAGATTTATTTAGAAAAGAAATGTATATTTAAGGGAGAATGCAGACTATCCAGAGCGAGAGATGCACTTTTGGGGCCCTGTCTCTTCTTAGAAGAAAACTTGGTAAGAGGTGATTATGGGGAGGTGTATGGGGATCATGTCAGTCTGGAACTCAGAGACAGTTTATGATGGTCTGGCCATTTTCAGGATCTTAGGCTGCTGTGGTCTCCATTATCTGATCAGTTATAGGTTTCTTAATGTATCATATCTCTTGGCTTAATTGGTTTATTGGTGGGTTAGTTAACAGTGCCCAAGGTAATTATCATGAGTGAGTGAATTTTCAGTGACTTCAGATTTATAGATTTCCAAAAAATTTGGGAGTCACAGGCCTGGGAGAGAGGTAGGCTCAAGGAGTGACAGGCCTGGAAAGATATGAGGAATCTTAAATTAAAATTATATTTCCTTGTTCTTCCTTTATTTGTCCTGTCTACCTGTCTCATTTCCTTTATCCTACCTCATATTACATGTTCAGTACAGGTGCATTTAAAAAAAATATTTTGATTTATGATCAGTTGGATCCATGAATGTGGAGCCTGCAGGTAGAGAGGACTGAACTTCCCTTTCTACAAGGCAGAGGAGGGTCTGTGGAACTGGGATCTATACTGACATACGAGTCTCTTTAAATAGTAGTTGTTCCTCTAATAGGAAAGTGAATATTATATTTGTGAAACCTGAACATGAAAAGAACCCACAATAAAGAAAATTTACCCCTTGAAGAGACAATATGAAAATATTTTTCAAAGTACTTGCTAGAAATGTCCCTATAATAACTAGTGCTTCTAGGCAGCCAGTTACTTTGGATTGTCTATTTAAAAAAAATTGCTTATAGATTTTAATTTTGAAAAATAAGCCATTATACTCTAAAATTATCCAATGCTTAATAAATCACATTTAGAAAAAGAGTAGTATAGAAACTTAGGCAATTAAATAACATTTGTATAGGATTTATAGGTTTTAAATAACAGTAAAAAATCAATCTTTTTAAATGAAGCACCTGCCTCATCTCTTATGGGGAAAGACCTTAATTTGATTTATATGGGTAAATCAATGGAGCAGTTAGTTGTTTCTATTACTGCTATAGTCTTTGCTACTAGGGTATTTAGGGAGAATGTTAACTCGTCTTCCACTCTAGTCATTTAAATTCATTCAATTGATTTTTTTTTTGAATGTTCACTATATACTGGGCAGCATTATATTCAGTGATTATATACCTCTGAAAGACTAGGACCTTTTATTTCTATTTTTTTAATCCCTTAGATTAGAACATGTCTCTCTTACCATTTTTTTCTCTCACTTTAACAAAATACCTGAGACTGGGTAACTTATATTTATTTAGTTTAAGTTTTGGAAGTCCAAAACCATAGTGCTCGCACCTGCTCAGCACTGGTGAGGCCCTTCTGGATATGTCACAGCATGGCGGATAGCGCCATGGCAGGAGTATGTGCAAGAGGGAGAGATCACATATTTAGTCAGGAAACAGGAGATTAAAGGGTCAGGCTTGATCTTTTTATAATAATTCTCTCTTGTGGTAACTAACTACAGGGTCTCTTAAGAATAAAATTAGCCTCTTCTGGGGGCAGTGGCCCTAGTGACCGAATCACCTTCCACCAGGCCCCACCCCTTAAATATTTCACTCTGTCTCAACACTGAGACTCTGGGAACCAAGCTTTCAACATATGAATCTTTAGAGGATGCATTAAAGTCTTATCCATATCACAGCAGGTTTCTTCTGCAGGTTCTCAAGTGTCTTACTGCAGGTGTTCTGGTTAGATCTAGCCCATTCAGTGGTGAATGCAGAATGGTTATGGAGTGAGGTCTGCTGTGGTGATAACTGAGCCTGAGCAGGAGCACTGATCTTTAAGTAGTGTCCTGCACCTATCAGAAGGCACTAGCATCGGGAAATGGGGGCCCAGGGAAGTCAAGGAGGGTTGACCTTTTTGTTAAAAAAGGGTTTAAGCTGTTTTCAGCCACACAGTGATGTGTGTAGCTTTCTGGGTAAGGTATTAGGTCCAATTAAGGATGAGGCCATGACATCCATTGAGCAAGAACTTGTCACTTTTGGAAGGGTCCTGCTGTCTGTACATGGGTTTATATATTTTGTAGCTCAGTAATATTCATATACTCTTAACAAAGAATTGCCTTTTTGTGTGATTTCTGAGAGCACGTGGTTTCGTTGTCCTTCTTGCTTATTGGATTTAACTGTTATTTGTGGGACCAGCACTTGAGACCTTCTGAAACCTCACTTTATGTTACCTAACCAGTGTGGTCTTTTATGATGCCTGGGGGGTGGTGCTTATTCACTCCACTAGCCGAGTATGTGCCAAGCACTGGCCACGCATAGATGAGAGCCCCACCGCACATCCCATGCAGGAGGCAGATACTTTGCATAATTGCCACTACTCCCTTTCTCTTGTCTGTGACAGGCTCTGATAGGCCACCAAGGTAGCCCTTTTAACCTTTTCTGTGTTCAGCCTCTACCTACCTGGCTGGTGGATATTTCCCGCCACCTCTTGTTTTCCTACCTTGTAACCTCTTCCCCTCATAAGGCATCTTCCTCATTCACTTTGGAACATCGCGGGCATTCTCTACTCTTGCTACCTGCATTTCCTCAGCTCCTTACTCACCCTTCTGCCTAATTCACCTTGTCAAGGTCTCATGGAACCACACAGTGGTCAAATCAAATGAATCGTTTCCAGTCTTCATCTGTATTTTCCCCTGAGCAGCCTTTGACAGATCTCACAGTTTACTTAAACACTTCTTTCTCTTGCTTTCCAGAGCACCATCCGGACCTTTTCCATTACTGTCTTTCTGGTCAGACCTTCTCAGTTCTTTTTGTCTGTCCATTTAAAGTCTGTCTTTCTCAGCCATCTTTTCTAATTTCCCTTCTCTTCTCCCTCTACATTCTTCCAGAGTGATTTTATCCGCCCCCATGTACCCAGATCCCTGTCTCCAGCCCAGGATTCTCTCCCACTCCTGATGCATACATCCGCCTACCAAAGGACACCTCCACTTGGTGATTCACAGGCACATCACCTCCCATGCTGAACTCATCTTTATGACATTAGCTCCTAACCTGGCCCATTTCCATTGGCCCTCTCTCAGGGAAGGCATTGAGAAGTGCGATTTCCTACCCTAGAGACTGCAAGGCTGCTCTCTCCCCTTCTCTTTATCTTTCCCACTCTCTGGCCGTGGACTGAATTCCTGAGTCGTGTCAGTTTATCTCCTGAATCTCTCTCCCTTCAGTACTTCTCTCCACCTCCTCCACCATCATGGCTTCTACCCTCTCTGCTTGGGCTTCCTGCTCTCCCTCTTTCTTGTGTTCATCCATCCCACGTGGTTATACACACTGTAGTTAGAGAGCCCATTCTAAAAAGCAGATCTCATCCTATCTCCCCTGCTTGCAAGCCATCAACTGCTTCTCCTCACCTTATCTTCCCCCAAAGACACGAACCATTTTTTAATATCTGGCATCTAAGACAAGGAGATGACCAATCACATTTCACCAAGAGTCAAGCTGGTCTTGGATGAGGCCTCAGTTTTGACCACCTAGAGATCACCTAAGCCGCAGACTCCTGGGTGCTGCTGAGCCCTCTGCAGCCGGGCTAAAGGTTCCAGCAGGGCCTGTCTTCCACCTGCAGGCCCCGGTCACCCCTGAAAGCTACTTGGCCCCTGCTCATCTGGTGGAGATTCTGCTCTAGAAATTTGTTCATCAATTTCCTCGTTTCCAGCTCTCTTCAAAAATTCCATAAATGAGTCTGATTTTTACTTTATTTAAAATAGTTTCGATGTATGAACGCAGCGTGAAAATCTCTTGCATCCTTTTATATCCTGAGTGGACCTAGAACTTTCACCCTCACCTGTAGGACAAAACCTGACCAAGGCTCCCAAGGCCCCATCTGGTCTTGGCAGATGTATTGCCATCCTGGCTCTCAGCCTGAAGAATTCATGTGGAACTTATTGCTCTTTCTCAGGAACACTGTCTTCCCCTGCCCCCCTACCAAATATGGCATCTGTGGGTCTCTATAGTTCCAGCTTTCTGTCTGCCTAATTCCTTCTCATTCTTTTGGACTCAATCTAGCTGTTATTTATCTACTCCTAGAAGCCTGTAACCCAGCTTAGCCCCTGAAATCTGGGCTTAATGCCTTTCTAATGTACTTTCATAGCATATTATATAAACCGTTATCATTTAATTGTCTATTTACATTCCTATTTTCTACTTAAATTAAGAATTATTTGCAGGTAGCACCTGTGTCTTATTTCTCATTATATCCCCACTTCAGAGCAGAGGGGCTCGTTTTTGACAAGGTACGGTGAATAAATGGATAAACAAACCACGAAAACCGGGCATTTGGTTTTTACCTAAGCAACATGATGCATGGTGTATTTGGGTTTTTAAAGTACTTTTATACAGAAACATTCTTCATGAGATTGCTTCTTCTGCCAACCTTTGACAAAAGTTGCCTATACAATGTGATATAGTTCCTCCAGCACTACAGTAGGATTTACTGATGTTCTAGATGGAGAACCAATGTACTTTTTTTTTTTGCAATAGTAAGTCAGGATCAGTGGTTAGGAAAATCTGTTCATAGACAGTAACAGCATTTTTAAATAATGAAATATAGAGCAGAATAGAATAAAATGGTATCGGAGAGCATCCTATGTTGTAGGTTGTTGTCTTGTGAAATGTTTGTTTCACTTCTATTCTCTCTCTCTCATACACACACAACACACACACACACACACACACACACACACACACACAAATGGTTGCAGTGTGAATTTCTGGTTTTCTAATTATGTTACCATCAAGTACGTTCTTGACAATCACACCCTCGAGCGCGACCCCCTCTACCTCCCTTCCCCATCCCAGGCCCCGCATGGCAGGGCAGGTCAGAGGCGTGGACTTAAGTGAAGTGTGTGTGTTCTGTGTTTGGAAGGTACGACCTTTATAGTGTTTGAATGCAAGTGTCTCCTTTTTCCTTTCTTTGTTTGCTCTGTGGGAGTTTGGCTATTTGGAGAAAATGAGTCAAGTGGCTCTTTTCTTTTTTGAACATGTTTGTTTATATATATATATGAGTTTGGGCAGGAAGCTGTGCCTGGGGAGGTCATAACCTCTTGGAAAAATGACTTCACCCTTGGAAGAGGCCATAGGCAGTGTTACCCAGAGACATCCGTGACCTGCCCATCTGCTGGAGGCTGGAAGGCAGGTGTGGTCTTGATGCATGTCATCTTCTGTGTGTGCTCTCCTATATCTACGGGCATGATGTTTTTGGGTGCGCCCTTGCCTCCCATTTCATTTTTTCTCATTTTTAAAATTCATGGATTATGTAGTAGAGGCAATGGAACCATTTACCTTGCAGCTTTTCTTGCCTTCCCCACCCCCTCCAGGGCTGGGGATTGAACCCAGGGCCTCCTGGTGTCAGGCAAGCACTCTATCACTGAGCCACATCCCCAGCCCTTAATCTTGTAGCTTTTTAACATCTTAGTATTTAAAAGGTGGTGGATAGAGCAGACCGGTGTTCTTTTCTACCATCCTATGATTGGTAATTTCTCCTTTGGGGAGTCAAGTTGGCTTGGAAAGAACTCAGGAGCTTACTAATAATTCAATATTATTAAAGGCCCATGTGCACATAGCTGATGTGAATAATTAATGTGAGGCTGTTCCAAGTGAGTAGGCAAAAGCACAAACTAATAAGAAATTTCACGCTGACAGTTTATCTTCCTGTGAAGCTGGTTTTTCAGAGAGCAGACCAGAATCAAAGGCTGTCTTTTTCTTTCTCATCCTACCAGGAGCTGGCAAAATTAAAAAAGAAAGCATTGTTCACTGTGTTCTGTCAGCGCATCCCCCACACAGGCCATTTCCCTGGGGTGGGTAGGTTGAGGCCAACCTGGGGGACTTGGCACAGGTGTTTGACTCAGCCCCAAAGATATGTGACCTGGGAGGTGTTCACTGGTGGACAGTAGACTTTCCAAGAGAAAGGGCATTTCTGGTGGGTTTTCAAAGTTGCAGTTTACCTTTCTGTGTGATTGAATATTTCTTCTTTCTAAACACTTGTATTTCCCTGTACCATCTAAAATAAAGAACTTCTGTTATCTTGAGTAAGTCCCATGCCATTGTGACATCCGGTATCTTGCAAGGGCAAGGGACAAGTGTTCTGTGTGGTTGCTTCCTCAGTACTTGGAACTTCCTCAGTACTATGAAACTGCATTGTACTGGTCTCAGATCGCTGTGGAAACTTCATTTTTGAATCGGATTGTATTCCAATCTGTCCCTTTTTTCCCTTCCTACCAGACTGACTCAGAACTCTTCCTCCGGGAAGATCTGTGCAAAGGCAGCTTTGTTCTCTCTTGTTTGCTACATCAAACTTTTATTGAGTGCCTACTACATGTGTGCAAGGCCGTATGTTTGGCTTTGGAATGTGTGCATGAATTTTAGGTAGTTTTGCCTTGGAGAAAGTCTTCAGTGATTGGGAATAAACTTGTGAACCATATTAATCCCTTTAGACCTGTCAGCTTTGGGGCTATTCCGAATCTGAAAAGATTACTATTATAGGACCAGAATGGAAACCAGAAACCAATCAATATTTTAAAAGAAGAGAATTTATTGTGGGAACTTGGTACCAAACTGTTAGAATGGGCCAGAGGGCTAAAAGAGAGCTGGTGGTTTTCCCTAGAGATTAGTAGCTGTAGAAAACTGCTATTGCCCCTAAGGCTGGAGGAGCAGAGAAAACTATTTGCTGGGCCCATTTCTGCAGCGTTGCTATAACTGTTGCCACTGTTGAATCACCACCTTGCATAAGAGCCAGGCCCAAGGACTGGCACCCTGCATATCTCCAGAGCACGCAGCTGCCCCTGCTGCCTGCCTCTGCTGCTGAGACCAGAACCAGGAGCAGATGGTCTCTGCTAGTATTGGGCCCATTGTTGTCTGTCAAAAGCAGGACTTAGACGGCAAGGGAGGCTGGAAAGGGATATTTCAAAATATTTTAGCAAGAGCACAGAAAGACTGGAATGAGGCTTGAGTTCCACCAGGATGCCTGTTTTTTTTTTTTTTTTTTTTCCCTCTATTTCTCCCTCCATCACCTTAAAGAAGCTTCTGTAAAATAGAATCGCTGGTACAATGATGGTTTGTTTTTTTTTTCAATCACATTTTATCTCCTTGTTAGTCATGACATGTGAGTAAGATTCAGTGTTTCTGAGTCCATCTCTCTGATGGGAACATTGGCAGAGTTTGTTATTCGTCTCACTGAGGATTTTGAAATTCCGGGACTATTCTAATATTCCAAATGTCATACTAAAACAAGAACATTACCTAGTGTGAGTTTGCAGAAATACACCTAAAGTCACCTAGTAGGTAGATAAACATCTCTTAGAAGTGATTTTGCTTTTCACAGAAGACACAGAAACATTTTCCCAAAGTCACTACTAAATGGAAGTCAGCTGATCCCCGTGTCATGCCTTCCCCAGCAGTGTGACTCTGAAGCAGAGTTCTCTGTTGAGATTGATGGGCTCCGTGGAGTTGCTCTAACCCACTTCTCTGTCTGCTCTGGCTCCCACTAGCATGGTCTTCAGCCGGGAAGCCATCAGGAGACTTCTTGCCAGCAAATGCCGATGCCACAGCATTGACTCTCCTGACGACATGGTCCTGGGCATGTGCTTTAGTGGGCTGGGCATCCCTATGATACACAGCCCCCTCTTCCATCAGGTGAGATCATGGGTTTTATTCTTACAGGGGGAAGGGGGAATTTCCCTCCCATTTAAGGGCTCTGCTCCTTTCTCTTCTTATATTTTGGAAATGATCTTAAGAACTATATTGACAGGCCCCAGGGGACATTCTTAACGAATCTTGTGTCCTCCATGAATGCTATGAAGATGGAAAGCAAATACATCTAGGAACCCAAATGGTGCGGGGCTAGTGTCTTTGTGTGTAGGACCTGGCAAAAGCTTCTCTCTCTCTCTCTCTCTTTGTTTTCAGTTAAAACAAATTGATGACATTTTAAAAATTTGGGATATTATCTAAAAATATATAGGACTGACCTAATTTTGTCCTAGTGGTCACCAACTGTGTGTAGTTCAACACTATCCTCAGGTTTTATACTATCCACCTCGCTTTGATTTAACCAGGACTTCTCCCTTTTGATTGTCATTAAACCAACTGGCTAACATCTATTAATTTCCAATATGCTACCTGAATATATTTTGAGGGCTACAGAAAAGAAAAGATGATATTTATCAGGCATGATTAGTGGTTATAGCGTCACTGTATGCATTTTGGGGTTGGAGAAAGGAATCCTTCTGCATTGTTTTTAGTACTATTTCATGAATCTAGTCAGTGAATGTCCTTCTATTCTAAGACTAATAGCAGGTGTACAAAAACTAAAAATAACCATAGATCTATACCCATCTAATGTACTCCTTCAAGAAATTCAAAGCCTTTTGAAATCTGAATGTCTTTTAAGTTCCCTTCCTTACATCGAAAATATATTCTTCATGCTTTATTTAATAACTAGGAGGAAATGCTATCATAGTAATTTAGAAAATGGAGCATGAGAAAAACAACACTATAGAAAACAACTTGAACAAAGCAAAGAAAGTGTTGCATTATCAAGAAAGGCAGACTCCATTTCTGTGTCCTTGAGACAGTAAGGGAGGATAAAAGTAGACCTTTACTAAAAAGAAATTCATGGTAAACCTCCTTGCTGGTACCAATATGAAGGCACTTATCCATCCTCGAGAAGTCTGACCCATTTTAAGCCAATGAATTGTGTTCTGATGACTCAGAAAAGCAAGATATTCTCTGTCTCTTCCTCTTTTGCTTTATCTCATGATGTTTCACTCATAGAAAAGGAAGGTTAATTAAATCTGCTGGTGTATAAGGAAAGTAATTTGTCAAGGTTATATAGTGTGACAGGTCTTAGATTGTTAGGGTCACTTTTTCTCTTAGGAAAGAACACATTAGTATATAAACTAATAAGGAGAAAAGAGAGAAGGAAAACAATCTAATCCTTAAGCAAAAGTCCTTTGAAGGTAATTAAAAAAAAGTTTGTTTTTTTCCTTCACTTTAAAACCCTTCTCTAAATCACATAATCAATTTTAAACCTTTCCAAAATCATAAAATATGTTTAAAACCTACCCTCCCCCAAAGAGAGTGCTGTATCTTCCAATCCTTAAGCCTCTTTTAGAGTCTGACATGATTTGGACAGTACTTTCAGTTTGTAATGTTTGAACACAGATCCAAACAGCTCTTTTATTCATATTGACAGTGACATAAGAGGCAAAGTAATAAAGTCTAAGAGTGCTGATGAGTCAGAGGGAGAGAGATTATTTGGAAACAGCCTGGCACTGTTGCCTGGGCCATATTCCTTCTGTTTCCAGTCAGGGGATATAACCGTGAAATCGTAGATTTAGAAGGGGACTCCAAGGGATGTCTCGTACATCCATTCAGTAAAAGCGAAGTATCTAGAGTGCATGGTTTTGTTCTTCCAAAATTATATGCCACTAATGGATCTGGTGGTGTCAATGGTATTGAATTCCCTGCACAAAGTACAAGCAAGCTGGACAAAATTGTCAAAATAACGATTTCAAGCCTCTGGAAATCAAATAAAGGCTAACAATAAATTGAGAAACATTGATTTCTGAAAAATTGCTACACTTCAAGGTAAGAACAGTAGATCTGAGGCTTTCTTGCCTGAAACCACTACCATCCTCAAGTCCTCCCCAGCCCCTTAACTTAGTTAGAACAGCAGATTTACCAGAATGGACCTGGATGGAATAAACAACACTTTGCTGCCAGAGGGGAGGGACTTGATTGGGGAAGGGGAGATGAACACCCACGGATATATCAGCTAAAAATGTTAATGTTGGTAGGAAACAAACAAAAACAATCTGCATCTTTACTGGTCTGAAGTTGCAGTCTGAGTTAAGGTGAGGGTGTATTAGCCAGAAATGTGACATCTTATGCCCTAGAAATAAGAGTAGCTACATGGTTAGGTAAACTCTTCACACTTATCCCTAGCCCGTTTGAAAACTATGCAAATGTGTAAGAGTTGAGTCCAGCGGAAAGCAAAGTCAAGGCATGTTTGAAAACTGGCTGAAGCTGTAGATTGCTTTCCAGCCCACACACAGATGGAAGCCCTGCAGACTGGAGATGTTTAAGCACAACTTCTGTGTATATGTTAGTCCAACTAAGTTATTCAGGGGCAGAGATGACTTGATTCAGGCCAGGTCAAAACTAAAAGTAAGAACTCTAACTAATCAGCATTTGTACATGATAGGGAGAAAGAGCCCATAGTATAAGTCCACGCAAGTTACTTTAAAAGGAAAGCAATAAAAATGAATCAGATTTGTGGGTTGATATAATACACTATCTAAAATTACCAGTTTTGATCAAATAATCCTGAGACATACAAAGAAACATCATCGGGGAAAATGCAATGAATTAGAAACTAACTCTTGAGTAGGGCCAGATGTTGGATTTGATAAGTGAATACTTCAGAGCACTAATAAAAATATAGTCACAGAATTAAAGGAAACTCTGCTCAAAGAACTAAAGACAAATATGATGACAATGATAATAAATAGGGATTCTTTTTAAAATACCTTTATTTTGTTTATTTGTTTATTTTTGTGTGGTGCTGAGGATCAAACCCAGTGCCTCATGCATGCGAGCCAAGCATTCTACCACTGAGCCACAAGCCCAGCCTAAATAGGGATTCTTAATAGAAAAAAAATAGAAATCATCATAAAGAACCCAACGAAGTCTATAAGTACAAAATCCAATAACTGAAATTAGAAATCATATAGCTGAATTTAACAGTACATTTGAGATGGCAGAAGAAAAATCTCAGTGAATTCGATGAACGATCAATAGAAATTACCTAATCTAAAGGAAACTGAGGACAAAAAACTGTAGAAAAATGAACAGACCTCCTAGACATATTGAGCCACAGAGTGCACCAACATTCACTTGAGGGCAGTCCTGGAGAGAGAGGGTAGGGAAAATGGGACCACAAAAATTTCTTTTTAAGAAATAACTGTTGAAACTTTCTAAACGTAGTAAGAAAGAACTTGTGGAGCCAACAAATTCCAAAAAAGGGTAATAATGAAAAGAATTACATGTCAAACTTTGAAAAGACCAAAACAAATAGAAAATCTTGAGAGCAACAAACTGATCATCATGAAGAGCGGAACAAATATGATGATTAGATGGGTTCTCAAATATAATGATTAGAGGCAAAAAGAAAAAAACAACAACTGTCAATCAATCATTCTCTATTCAGTGAAATTATGCTTCCAAATGAAAGTGAAATAAAGACATTCTCAGATGAACAAAAAAAGATTTCTTTTGCTAGTACACATTCCCTACAAGAATGAGATGGAAAAGTCCTTAATTAGAATTATTTGTATTAATCTGATAAGTTAGATGCATGTTGTCCCTGGAGCAACCTCTAAGAACCACCATTTGACTCAGTTATCCCACTCCTTGGTACAATGTAAAATTGTGTGAAGTTAAACATACACCTGTGGAATAGGATAAAGATTCTAGAAATAAGCCCTCCCATTGATGTAAACTGATTTTTATCCAGGGCATTTCAGTGGTGGAAAGAAACAAATGGTGCTGGAACAATTATATATCAATATACCATGAGAAAACTTTGAATCTTGCCTTACACCATGCACAAAAAATTAATTCAAAATGGGTGAGAGTTTACAATGTGGGAAGTAAAGCTTAAACTTTTAGAAAGTTAGGGATAATTTTCTGTGACCTGAATTTAGGCAAGGATTTCTTATTAAAATTAAAAGCATGACCCAAAAAGGAAAAATTAATAAGTCAAACTTCATATAACCTTTATTCCTTAAGAGATATTGGAAAAACCAAACCAAACCACAGTGTAGGATAAAATATTTACAAATTATATATCTGATAGGGGACACGGGTCTAGAATATAATGTTCATTTACAACTCAATGAGAAATGAAATCTTTTAGTTTGGAGTGGGCAAAAAAAAATTGAATGGACATTTCACTAAAGAAGATGAGTGAATGACTAATGAGCAAAAAAAAAAAAAAAAAAAGATTCTTAGTATTATTCACAATAATCTAAAATTAGAAGCAACCAGAATGTTTATCAACTAATGACTAGGTGAATAGAATATGGTATCTTTGTTTTGGTCAGTTTTTTCAATGCTGAGATGAAAGGACCTGACCAGAACAATTTTGGAGGAGGAAAGGTTTATTTGAGGGCTCATGGTTTCAGAGGTTAGCCCATAGAAGGCTGCCTCCATTTCTCAGGGTTCCAGGAGAGACTGAACATCATGGCGGGAGAGTGTGGTGGAGGGAAGCAGCTCACATCATGGTGATCAGCAAGCATAAAGAGAAACTCATTTCCAGATACAAAATATGTACCCCAAAACCATGTGCCCTAGTCACACCTCCTCCAGCCACACCCTACCACTTCAGTTACCACTTAGTTAATCCCTATCGGGGATTAATCCACTGATTGGGTTAAGATTCTTACAATGGGATCATTTCTCCTCTGAACCTTGCATTGTCTACAATTGGGGGGCACTTCACATCCAAACCATAACAATGTTTATGCATGGTAGCATTAGTCAGCAGCACAAAGGCATGAACTACTGATACATGCAACAGTGCTGAGCCAGGAACAAAATATTCACATTGTGTGATTCCATTCTTAAGAGAAAGGCGACACTGTAGAGATGAGACAAATCAGGGGTTTCTTGGGGCTGCCAGTAGGAGTGGGGATTAATTGCAATTATACACAAGGAGATTGGTGGTGGTGGTGAAATTGTAATGTTCTAAAACTGGTTTTATGCTTGCCCCAAATCATTTTTTTCTTTATTTGTTTTTGGAAATTTTTAAAGTGTTTCAAACACTGTTTCTCTGGGTGAACTGTAGAGTGTATAAACCATTCTTTTGGGGTGTATTGTATATCTAAGGAGATACAATTTTAATCTCCATTTGTGGAACTGCTCATTGAGCTCTAAAGAAGGATAAGAAGGTTTTAATGTTTCTCAATTTATGTCCTTGACAGTTGAAGCAGTCTCTCTTGCCTATCACATTCGTTGTCCTTCCCCACCCCTGTACCTGCCTGTTTGGGATTTCCTTTTGGCATTTTGGACAGAGATGGGATAAGAGGTTCTATAGACTTCTCTGTGTTATGCATGCTTCTGGGGATGGATTTTTTTTTAGTTTTGCCTTATTCTTTTCTGTGACCTCATGCATTGAAAACGACAGCACATTCTAATGCTTAATGAGCCAACTGTTCACAGGTATGCATAGGCTTGCTGAGATGCTATTAATCACTCCTGGAATCCGTGTTAACAGAGGGATTTTTTCCCTCCTGTTCGATGCATTAATATCTCTGGCAATTCATTTTCACTTGTGAAAAATAAGCCAGGATTTCTTTTCTTTGCTTTTACTTCTTTCTTCTGAGAACATTGTGGGAATTACCCCAGAACTGAATTGAGAGCCTGTTTCTCTCTGGTTTTCTTTCCTGCTGGTAAACTCTCACAGGGCCTCACAAATAAGCATCATCTAATATATGAATTCCTTCAACTAATATTTGAAATTTTCCCAGTGCATTAGACTATATTCCAGTATGTATTTTTATTGGTCTATCTTCCCTCTTAAAATTCCCTTCTTAGACTTTTAACTCCATGAGTCCTTAGAATCCTTAAAGGGCAATACAGTAGCAATTGTGAGAGTTCTTCCCCCGCATTATTTTAACTTTTCCTCACATTTGAGCTGTGTCTTTGTGTCACTCTGAGGAGCATCCCAATGAGGCTAGGCTCATTGAGGCTAGGTTTGGGTGTGTGGCTGGAGCAGTGGGCCAAGGACAGGCAGCAGGTGTCCTGGTGCAACCTTAATGGAAGCTGGCCACCTCTTTCTTGTCCCCATTCCAACATTTGCTAATTTGATTACTTCTGAGAGCTCCAGTTTCCTCATTTCAATAATATTCTGTCCTTCTTGGAAGGTTTCAAGGATTAAATGAGATAATATTTAATAAAACTAACACCATTTAAGAGAGTTTATTTAAATATCCACATCAAAAATGTAGGCAGATTATACTAAAATACTAGCCTAGAAAAGACTTGTTTTTAAAATGTATTATATTTAATTTTAATAGTCAAGATGATTTTCTGTTGATAAACCAATGAATTACTCTATAAAACAGATGGGCCATATAAATTCATAAGCAAATTAAGAAAATGGAGAGAAGATGATTGCTCTGTTTAGAGCAAACAAAATTGTCTAGCTCTGATTTTCCTTCTAACATTATAGTTTGTAACTTCAGTCTCTAAAACATTCTAGGTTATATCTGATCCTGCTTATGGTTTCTAAGTTCTAGAGAATTCTGAAATGATGATAACACAGAAAAACTTTACAGTCCTCTTGCAAAGTGCTTTGGTTAACTCACATTTTTTAAAATTCATATTTCTGGAACCAGAATTATATAACTTCTCTCTGATGAACCCCATGTTGTCTTTCTTTGAAAGATATCACTCCATTATGGTAGAGAATTAGATAGGCCGAGGGACCTTGAGAACTCCTCACCCCAGTGAACTGCATAACCCATGTGTGAAGGGGTTTCCCGAGAGGGACCTGGGAATTAATTTTGCTGCTTTTATTCAGAGATCATAATACTAAGTTAAATGACTTACCTAGGAAAACTTTTCACGTTTACTGCCATGCTTAAAGACTCTTCCAGAGACAAAACTATGGGATCTCCAAGCAAAAATCAGAGCATCTGGGATATTAAAGTAATTGGAGACTCAAAAGCAAGGAATCTGGAGTTAGAAGAAGATGGTAGAAAATAAGGTTCCCTCTTGCTTTTTGATTCCCATAACCAGTAACAAATATTGAAATGAAGCATTTGCTTTTTAAATTCAAATGTTATTCGGAAACAGTTATTTTTGATCACCAAAAGAGCATAATTCTTTGTTCTTCATGCAGGCTCGGCCAACAGATTACTCAAAGGACTTACTTTCTCATCAAGTTCCTATATCATTTCACAAATATTGGAACATCGATCCAGTGAAGGTGTATTTCACGTGGTTGGCACCCAGTGAGGAGGAAAAAGCCACACAAAAGACACAAAATGTTTTTAGAGAAGAGTTGTGAAGCCTGGCGGCCAGGGAGCATGGATTGGGGTAGGGAGCAGAAATGGAGACTTGACATTGATGAGAGCTGCAGCCGAGTCGGGATGGCACCTGGCATTTTGCCAGGGGGAATGGTTGAGAGGTGGTGCCAGCGAGCCATTAGGATGGTGATGGTTGAATTCTCGCGGAGTTCCCATTGAGTTCCGGTTGAGCTCTCGCGGAGTTCCTAGAGAGTTCGTGTGGGTTTGCGGAGTTCCCGTTGAGTCCTGGTAGAGCTCTTGCGGAGTTCCTGGAGAGTTCACGGGGGTGGCGTTCGTGGGGTTCAGAAATAAAGTTCGTTCCTGCTTGAATCTACAAGTGGCTCGTGACATCCCGGTTATTTGTGCCCAGCCAGACTGCGGCATTTGGTGGCCCATGCGGGGAGCGCCTGAAGCTTGGGGGTAAGTGAAACTGCTCGCCCCTGAGGGCAGGGCGAGAGAATGGGTGACCATTTCAAAAAACAATGTGTTCTTGTTTTGATTTGTTTTGTTTTTGTTTCAAGCTGCCTGTCCCTAGAACTTTCTCAGGCAAACTGGGGAAAGTGGTTGGCTCAAGGTTTGAAGTTGTTCGGCCCTGAGGAAGAGATAGAGATAGACCACGGATACACATGTCAAGAAAATAGAAAAACTGATACAAATTTTTGTTCCATTTTTGTTTCATTCTGTTTCGGTTTTGTTTTGTGTTATCTTGTTGGGTTGCGTTATCTTTGTAGCAGAAATATGGGATCAGAAATTAGCAAAAAACAAACCGAAAGAGTGTTAAGTAAATTGCTAGAGGAAGGAGGCACCCCAGTAAAACCGAGAACAGTTCGGGCATACGTTGATACCATACAAAAATGTAGCCCATGGCTTTTTAAGGAGGAGTTGTTGAATATATCACAATGGGACCATCATGGTGAAGACTTAAGGAAGAGGGAAAAGAAAAACCCAGGGACTTTGCCAGTTGGCACATTGTCATTGTGGATGATGATACGATTTTGTTTGCCTAGTCCAAAGCTTTCAGTTCAGATTATGGTAGAAGACATATTAGATCAGGAAAAAGAGGAGGCCTCTTGAGATAGTCAGAAAGGGGAAGAAAGTTTAGAGGAGAAAAAGCTGTCAGGGAGAAGTTACAACAGGAGGCTGCTACTAACACCATTCTATCACCAGAGGGCATAATTCAACCAACAGCTCCACCTATGGAGACAACATATGCTGAGTGGCCCTCAACCCCCATAGTTGATAGATGGGATCCTGAGACAGGACCCAAAGATTAGCATGCCCTGTATTTGAAGAGGCAGGAGGGCAGCGAATTCACCATGTTTTAGATTTCAAAACAGTGAAGCAGCTGAAAGAGGCTGTAACAACCTATGGTCCTCAAGCACCCTTTACTGTAAGCATGGTCGAATCCATTACCAACTTGAACATAATGCCAGCAGATTGGGCTAGTATGTGCAAAGCTGTGCTAAAGGAGGACATTATCTTTTATGGAAGGTTGCTAATCAGGAATTTTGCATGGAGACGGCTAGGCGAAATGCAACAGCCAGTTATACTCAGAGAAATCTAGATATGTTGTTAGGAGAGGGACCTTATGAGGGTCAGCTGCAACAAATTAGATATGATCCTGACATATACTCACAAATTGCTTCAGCTGCGGTTAGGGCATGGAAAACTTTACAGGGGCATGGAGATTTACAAGGTCAATTATCTAAGGTAATACAAGGAGCTAATGAACCTTACACTGAATTTGTAGATAGGCTTATACAAACAGCTACCAGAATTTTTGGGGATGTAGAACAAGCAATGCCATTAATAAAACAACTAGCCTACGAACAGGCAAATAGATGGTGCAGGGATGCCATTAGACCATGGAAACATGGAGATTTAAACACATATATTAAATTATGCAGAGACATTAATGAACAAGGGCAAGTCTTGGCAGCTGTAGTACAACAGGCTTTAGGTGCCAGACCAAAAACATGCTACAATTGTGAACAAACAGGACATTTTAAAAGGAGTTGCCCCATAGGAGGAGGGTTTAACAAAACTAGGTATCAAAGGGGTAGAATACCAGGTATTTGCCCACGATGCCATAGAGGGAGACATTGGGCTAATGAATGCCGATCTCAAACCACTATAGAGGGTACTCTGTTATAAAAAAACGGACAAGGACCAGGTGTTTACCCACGATATTGTGAAGAAAAACATTGGGCTCCATTGCCAAAAAAAGGACAGGAGGTCCCCATGCTCCGGGGCCCATGACCACAAATACACGGGGCACTGGAGGAACCCAGCAACACCATCAGGGTAGTGCCCAGGACACATTATCCATTAGATCTCTCATCAGACAAACCAGAGGGAGTGCAGGGTTGGACATCTGCACCTCCACCAGAACAGTACTAACTCCAGAGATGGGAGTTCAAATCATTCCCACAGGGGTAAAAGGACCTCTTCCCCAAGGAACAGTAGGCTTATTATTAGGACGCAGTTCTTCTACTCTAAAAGGACTTATGATAAGTCCTGGGGTAATTGATCCTGATTATGAAGGTGAAATAAAAATTATAGCCAGTTCTCCAAGGGGTATATCAGCAATTTCACCAGGAGATAGAATAGCACAGTTATTAATAATACCCAGCCAACATGATAAATTTTCCAGTCATACTAAAGAAAGAGGTTCCAGGGGATTAGGCTCCACAGGTGTAGATTGGGCTATGCTTTCTTTAAATTTAGATTCTTGCCCCATGCTAAAACTAAATATTCAAGGACATGAATTTAATGGGCTACTGGATACAGGTGCAGACCTTAGCATCATATCTCGTCAAGAATGGCCAAAACATTGGCCATTACAACAAGCCACTCAAACGCTTTGAGGCCTAGGAGTGGCAACTAATCCCCATAGAAGTGTGATGGTATTAGATTGGAAGGATCCTGAAGGATATGAAGGAACTATACAGCCATGTGTATTGGATCATCTTCCTATAAATTTATGGGGACGAGATGTCCTAGATCAATTAGGACTAACATTAACAAATAACATCAATTCAAATGCACCCACTATTATGGCTAGACAAAGTTTTAGGAAAGGAAAAGGATTAGGAGAAAAAGGATAAAGTATAGTGGCACCAATACAAATAGGTCAAGAAATAGATAGACATGGATTGGGTTTTCAGGAGGGGTCACTGAGACAATAAAAATTACTTGGAAATCAGAAAGATCAGTATGGGTTCCTCAGTGGCCCCTGACTAAAGAAAAGATACAAGCAGCCCATGACCTGGTCAAACAACAATTAGCAGAAGGACATATACAACCCTCTGTATCTCCCTATAATACTCCCATTTTTGTCATCAAAAAGAAATCTGGTAAATGGAGATTATTGCAAGATTTAAGAGCTATTAATAACGAGATGGTTATTATGGGACCTGCTTAATCGGGGATTCCTCAATTGTCTGCTTTGCCAAAAACCTGGTATATTTTAGTTATAGATATTAAAGATTGTTTTTTTTTTAATTCTAATTCATCCTGAGGATAGTCCACGTTTTGCATTTACTATCCCTGCGCTGAATCATGAAGGTCCCGATCAGAGATATGAATGGAAAGTACTCCCTCAAGGGATGGCTAACAGCCCGACTATGTGTCAAATTTATGTTAACAAAGCAATCCAGCCACTTAGAAATCAAAATACTGAACTACAAATATTTCACTATATGGACGATGTATTATTAGCACACAAAGATAAAAACACATTGCTATTATGTTATGCCACACTTACAAATTTATTAAAAAATTATAATCTAGAGATAGCAATAGATAAAGTACAATTAAATTTTCCAATTAATTATTTAGGAGTTCTATTATCCTTGACCATGGTCCGTCCACCAAAAATTCAAATACGAGTAGATCAACTCAAATCACTTAACGACTTTCAAAAGTTACTAGGAGACATAAATTGGATAAGGCCTTATCTAGGCATACCAACAGGAGAGTTGGGACCTTTATTTGATATCCTAAAAGGTTCATCAGATCCAAATTCAACCCGAATGTTAACGCCTGAAGCAAGAAAGGCATTAAAAATTATTGAAACATATATGGAAAATATGCATTTGGATAGAATTGATATAAGTTTGCCTTTATTATTTATTGTACTACCAACAAAAAAATATTCCTACAGGAGTATTTTGGCAAGAAGGTCCATTATTGTGGATACATTTATCTTACTCTCCTAACACTATTCTTACTAGGTATCCTGAGGCTGTAGGACAATTAATACTCAAAGGAATAAAAGCAGCAAAGGGAGTGTTTGGAATTTCTCCCGATAAAATTATTACTCCATATACAGTAGATCAAATTGATGAGTTATATAATGAGTTAAATACTTGGGCAATAATCATGTGCAAATCTAATGTTTCATTTGATAACCACTTACCATCTAATCCTTTGTTGTCTTTTTGGTCTTCTCATCCTGTAGTTTTTCCAAAAATGACAAAAAACCAAAACAACAAAAACAAAAAAACACCTATCATGAATGCTCCAAATGTATTCACTGATGGGTCAAATAATGGTACAGCAGCAGTAGTTACCCCTGATCAAACTTTTACATTTTTAGTACCCAAATAATCAGCTCAAAAGGTAGAGCTTAATGCCCAGTATTACAAACTTTTGTGATGGTTAAAGATTCTGTATTTAATTTATTTTCCGATAGTCAGTATATAGTTAATGCTATAGTATCCCTTGAAGATGCTGGTAGGGTTTCCCCTTCCTCTACTGTTTTCTCTTTGCTTTCCACTATACAAAGTCTAATCTGGGACAGAAAAGATCCATTCTTTATAGGACATATCAGGGCACATACAGGATTGCCTGGAGCCCTTAGTTTGGGCAATGATTTAGCAGATAAAACTACACGTGACATACATATTTTTTCTACGCTAGAAGAAGCTACAAATTTTCATAAATCCTTCCATGTCAATGCAAATACTTTAAAAAGGCGTTTTAAAATAACTGAGGAACAAGCTAGACAAATAATAAAACAATGTCAAAATTGTGTGACCTTTTTACCACAAGTTAATCTTGGAGTCAATCCTAGAGGACTGACACCTAACCATATTTGGCAGATGGACGTCACACACTTGCCAGAATTTGGAAAGTTAAAGTATTTGCATGTTACAGTTGATACTTCTTCCGGATTTTTGATGGGCTCCCTTCATGCCGGAGAAAAAACTAGAGATATTATAGCTCATTGCTTACAAAACTTTGCCACTGTGGGCGTTCCAAAACAGTTAAAAACAGATAATGGCCCTGGCTATACTTCTACCTCTTTTAAGCAATTTTGCTCATCATTTGGCATTACTCATATAACAGGAATCCCATACAATCCACAGGGACAAGGCTTAGTTAAAAGAGCTCATGAAACTATTAAAATGTACTTATTAAAGCAAAAAGAGGGAATTAGGAAGGGGTATATATCCCCCAAAGATAAACTTAAAATAACCCTTTTTACTCTAAACTTTTAAAATTTGGATTCATCAGGGCTTAGTGCTGCGGAAAGGCACATGTGTCCAAAAAATGTACATAAGCCCAAGGTACTTTGGAAGGATATTCTAACAGGACAATGGAAAGGTCCTGACCCAGTGATTTTCTGGAGTCGGGGATCTGTTTGTGTGTTTCCACAGGACGAACAGCAGCCAATTTGGATTCCAGAGAGACTAACTAAAGCGATTTCTACAGACCAAAAAAGAAGATGATTTGGCTCAAATCCATAACAGCTGATATCCAGAACTCCAGTTTGGCTATCCTTACATATGCGACAGTGGTTCTCCCACACCTAGAGGCTAATGAATAATGAACACCATTAAGGCCTATTTCAAATGTAAGAAACCTTGGGGCTTGCTTGTGGGAATACCTTCAGACCCATATGCAAGTTACAGGAAGAAGGATGGGATATCAAAAGAAGAGTCAAACCCAGGTGGTAACCAGGATGCTTTTTTCAATATCTATTTTATTATTGCCCTTTCCCACATCATGAAGTTCTATTTTGTTTTTTGAGCTCATACAGACCTAGGTTAATGTTTTTCTGATCAGTTCTATTTTTTGACTGGAGTTTTTGAGCATTGCAATGGGGATTTCACCTGTGAAAAGCTACAAGGCCTTTACTATTATGTTATGTGTTGTATGTATTGTGTTATGTGTGCACACTTGTGTTATGTGTTGTATGTCTGTATGTGCGTATGTCCATATATCATTTATGAGGAGTGCTCATGAAAAAATGGATCCAAATATTTTTTTTTATTCACGTGATTTAAATGGTTTAATTTAAATTAGGTAAATAGCTGTTGAGGATTGTTTTAAAAGGTGGTTAACAGATCTGTTTGTTTACTTTCACCTTTCCTTTTCATTATATCTAATTCTATTCAGGATACTAAATTGTTTAGAAAATTGTTTTGTTTTTTTTTAGTGCCTGCTGGAATGTTACATAATTTTTTTTTAGCCATCACTGCCAGAATTTCTATCTTCATCCCAGTGCTGGTGAAGACAAAGATAAAACCAAACTACAGCTTCTGCGATAGCTATCACTATAAACTGATGCATCAATGAATAATGTAACTCAACAAGTGATACTCAATCAAGGAGTCGATTTACTTTGGGAGGAAATGGATATATTAATGGATTCCTCTGCTTTGAACTACTTGCAAAACTTGCCTGGACTATGTATCACTTGTATGCATTGTGAATTATCTGTTTGTGCAGTGAATTGTGGTAGTGCCGGGGTATCTTTGCTAATGGTGTCATCAATGGTACAATTTTTCCAAAAGGAGCCGTCAATGGCTTGATATCGTGGTGTTTTGTATCCTCCCCTTTCTGCTTGTAGCAGGTTATTTATGGTGTTTGTGTAAAAACCACTATCCACAAGTATGGCTAAATGCTGGGCCGGTAGTCAATGAGGGGTAAGATCCAATTGCAATGGTACCAATCTAAGACAGGAGGCTGACGCCTTGAGGTCAGCTCATCCAATGATGGGTAAGGACCATATATAGTATTGGACAACCTAAGACAGGCACGGTCCCTAAGCCACATGCTTGTTGTTTAATTAAACAGAAGGCGGGAGATGTTGAGAGCCCCAGCCGAGTCGGGATGGCGCCTGGCGTTTTGCCAGGGGGAGTGGTTGAGAGGTGGCGCCAGCGAACCATTAGGATGGTGATGGTTGCGTTCTCACGGAGTTCCTGTTGAGTTCCGGTTGAGCTCTCGCGGAGTTCCTGGAGAGTTTGCAGGGGTGGTGTTTGCGGGGTTCGGAAATAAAGTTCGTTCCTGCTTGAATCTACAAGTGGCTCGTGACCTCCCGGTTTCTCATCAAGATCCTATATCATTTCACAAACATTGGAACATCGATCCAGTGAAGGTGTGTTTCACGTGGTTGGCACCCAATGAGGAGGAAAAAGCCACACAAAAGACACAAAATGGTTTTAGAGAAGAGTTGTGAAGCCTGGCGGCCAGGGAGCATGGATTGGGGTAGGGAGCAGAAATGGAAACTTGACATTGTCCCACTGTACTGAGCTCATACTGCTACTGTGTGCCACCTGGCATTGGATACTTCCTGACTTTAGGTGCAAATCATGTATATGGCATATATTTTTTTTGATGGGGGAAGAGAAGGAATGATGGGTGAAAACAATGTTGTTGTTCTTGTTTTCCTGAGAAAATCACGTTTTTTTGACTAATGCAATTATTGTAATACGGTGATTACTGCACATTTTTTAGGCTGTGATATAGCAGCTTTATTATTGTCACAGGAAAATAAATGGTACCAGAAGTCCCTTTCTTGTTCTTTCTCTTCATTAAATGAGTTTCATTTGGGCAAGGCACTGAAGAGAAGTGATTATCGTTCTGTATAAAGAAGAGTGAATGTCGTTTGACATGGATATTGCCAATGATATGAACTTTTAAACCTTTTTATTGAAGGTGAAAATTTTTTCCTGGGAACTCAGTAGGAATAATGTTGTATTAAGGATCATTCAAGAAAGCATCATAAAAGTCTAGCTCTGCAATTCCTTCTAGTCTATATGATCATGTTGTTTTATCTATTCTTTTACTGTTTGTACTTCATAAAGAGAGAATGTGAGGTCCGCTAGAGCTTCCTATTTCTTTAGAAGTTCATCTGTGCTCTCCTTTGACCCCAAAGCCCTATCTTTATGGCTACCTGTAACAAAAGTATTGGGTGCTGACAGAAAAGTGTTAAAGTATTTAAAAACAAAATGCTGATGTGTCATTCAAGTTAACAAACCCCATGTGAGTCTCAGGAAGTGATATTTGAATCTGATGTTTTTACTCTTGTTTTTCTTTTCATGTTACTTAATGATTCTCTTCTGGCTCGGAATAAACATCCCTAGCCCCAACCAGTGCCCAATGAGACCCTCCTGGAAGGACATTATGGTGATTTGACAATTTAGCTGGGATCTTAAAGAATGAAATTTAAACATAGCATTTTAAAACGGCTCTAATTTTCAGATCATATCTTCAATAAATAGTGATTTAGCATTCAGTGTGGATGTATAAAAGGTATTCTATTTTTCATTATAGAATTCAGTTTTGTAAAGATATTTGCATAAGATATGATTTTAATATGTCAAACTTATTTTGGTATAATAGCACACCTTCTTTTTCTTTATTTTTTTAATAACTGCTAATCATTAACTTTGCTTATAATGTTTTTTATATAGCTCAGCACAGGGTTTTAAAGTCATACCACCAAAAGAAGCTTTGTGTCTTTTACGCTAATTAATTTCAATAGGAAATCAATTTTATTTTAATTAAAGTAATGTAAATAGTTGGAATTGATATCTGATTTCAAGATATTGGGGAACTTCTTTATGTTTTTATTTGTGCATTATGCATATGCATCATATTCATACTTGAGTGGAATATAATTTGCTGTATTGCAATCCCCACTCCTTCCACTTTCCCTCCACTCCCATCTGCCCCTTCTCCCCTTCCTCTGCTCTACTGATCTTCTTTCTATTTATTTATTCTTTTTTAAATTGGTGCTTTAGAGATATACATGAAGGTGGAATTCACGGTGGTATATTCGTATCTGTACACGGCATAATTTGTTTGATTTCATTCAGCGGTTCTTCCTTTTTCTTGTCCCACCTCCCTCCCTCTCCTCAATTTCCTCCCTCTACTCTGCTAATCTCTCTTCTAATTTCATGGGATTCCCCTTTCTTTTTTTTTAATTCCTTATTTTTCTCTACCTTCCAAATCTGAGAGAAAACATTTGATCTATGACTTTCTGAGTCAGGTTTATTTCACTGAGCATGTTATCCAGTTCCAACCACTTACCAGCAAATGCCATAATTTCATTCTTGTTTTTATATAGCTGAAAGACCTCCATTGTATTTCTATATCACATTTTTCTTGATCCGTTCATCTGTCGACAGGTATCTGACTGGCTCCACAAGTTGGCTATTGTGAATTGCACTGCCATAAACACTGACGTCCCTGGATCACTATAATATTGCTGAGTTTTAGATCTTTTAGATAAAATACCAAGGAATGGAACAGCTGGGTCTGTGCTTCCATTACTTGCCTTTGAGGAATCATCATACTGCTTTCCAAAGTGGTTTTGCAGTCCCATCAAAAATGTCTATCTTTTTCACCAAATCCTTACCGACATTTATTATTATTTGTATTTTTCTTTTGACAGATGTCTGTTTACTTCTTTTGCCCACCTTATTGACTGGATTATTTCTTTTTCTGGTGTTAAGTTTTTTGAGTTATATATTCAACATATTAATCCACTGTTGGGAGAGTAGCTGGCTGGCAAAGATTTTCTCCCATTCTGCTGACTCTCTTTACACTCTTATTTCCTTCCTGTGCAAAAACTTTTTAATTTGATGCCATCCCACTTATTGATGCTTGGTTTTATGTTTTGAGCTTTAGGGGTCTTTTTGAGGAAGTTGGTTTCTGTACCAGTATGTTGGAGTGTTGATGTTTTCTTCTAGCAGTTACAAAATGTTTGATCTAATTCCTAGGTCTTGAGTTCACTTTGAGTTGACTTTTGTACAGGGGGAGAGATAGGGATCTAATTTCATTCTTCCATTTATGGATATCCATTTTTTTCCCCACACCATTTCTTAAAAAGGCTATCTTTTCTGCAACGTGTGTTTTTGACAACATTTCCCTGATGACTATATATGTGAGTTTCTCTCTGTGTCTTCTAGTCCATTGCTCTTCATGTCTGTTTGATGCCATTACCATGCTATTTTTTTTTAGTATTTATTTTTTACTTATAAGTGGACCCAATATCTTTATTTTAATGTGGTGCTGAGAATCGAACCCAGTGCCCCACACATGCTAGGCAAGCATTCTACCACTGAGCCACAACCCCAGCCCCCATGCTATTTTTGTTACTATAGCAAGGTGGTATAATTTGAGATCAGGTGTTGTCAGATGATCAGGTGATGCCTCCTGCATTACTCTTCTTGCTCAGTATTACTTTGGGTAATCCAGGTCTGTAATTATTCCATATGAATTTTAGTACTATTTTTTTTTCTAATTTCTATGAAGAATGTCATTGGCATTTTGATGGGGATTACATTGAATCTCTATGTCACTTTTGGTAATGCAGACAATATTAATTCTGCCTATCTAAGAACATAGGGGGTCTTTCCATCTTCTAGTCTTTCTTTCCATCTTCAATTTCTTTCTTCAGTCTTCTGTAGTTTTCATTGTAGAAGTTAGATTTATTCTTAAATTTTTTTTTTTTTTAGGTTATTGGAATAGTTTTCCTTTTTTTTTTTTTCTCGGCACATTCACTATTGGAGTACAGGGAAGCTATTGCTTTTTAATTTTTGTATATCTTCTTTTTTAAAGATATTTTAAATTAACTTTTTAATTTGTTTTAATTAGTTATACATGACAGTAGAATGCATTTATGCACTTTGATATATCATACATAGATGGGATATAATTTCTCATATTTCTGAGTGTACCTGTTGCAGAATTATATTGGTAATGGAGTCACATATATACGTGCAGTAATAATGTCTGTTTCATTCTACTATTTTTCCTATCCCTATAGCCCCTCCCCTCTCCTCCCTTAAGTTCCCTCTACCTAATCTAAGGTAACACTATTCTTCTCAAGTGCTCCCTACCTTATTGTGAATTAGCATCCTCATATTAGAGAAAACATTTAGCCTTTGATTTTGGGGGATTGGCTTATTTCACTTAGCATGATATTCTCCAACTCCCATCTATTTACTGGCAAATGCCATAATTTATCTCTTCTTTAAATCTTAGTAATATTCCATTAAGTATATATATAGCACATTTTCTTTATCCATTCATCTATTGAAGGATATCTACGTTGGTTCCATAGTTAAGCTATCGTAAATTGAGATGCTATAAATACTGATGTGGCTGCATTACTATGGTATGCTGATTTTATGTCCTTTGGGTATATGCCGAGGAGTGGGATACCTGGGTCAAATGGTGGTTCCATTCCAAGTTTTCTGAGGAATCTCCATACTGCTTTCCATAGTGGTTGCACCAATTGGCAGTCCTACCAGCAATGTATGAGTGTGCCTTTTTCTGTACATTTATTGTTGCCTGTATTCTTGGTGATTGCCATTCTGACAGGAGTGAAATGAAATCTTAAAGTAGTTTTGATTTGCATTTCTCTAATTGCTAGAGATGTTGAACACTTTTTCATATATTTATTGATTGGTCATATTCTTTTTCTCTGAAGTATCTGTTTAATTCCTTAGCCCATTTATTGATTGGGTTATTTGGGTTTTGTTTTGTTTTGTTTTTGGTGATAAGTTTTTTGAGTTCTTTATATATCATAGAGATTAACGCTTTATCGGAGGTGCATGTGGTAAAGATTTTCTCCCAGTCTGTAGGCTCTCTCCTCATATTATTGATTGTTTCCTTTGCTGAGAAGAAGCTTTTTAATTTGAATCCATCCCATTTATTGATTCTTGATTTTACTTCTTGCTCTGTAAAAGTCTTGTTAAGGAAGTCAGATCCTAGGCTGACATGGTGAAGATTTGGGTCTATTTTTTCTTCTATTAGGCACAGGGTCTCTGTTCTAATGCCTAAGTATTTGATCCACTTTGAGTTGATTTTTGTGCAGGGTGAGAGAGAAAGGTTTAATTTCATTTTGCTGCAAAGGGATTTCCAGTTTTACCAGCACCATTTGTTGAATAGGCTATCTTTTCTCCAGTGAATGTTTTTAGCACCTTTGTCTAGTATGACATAACTGTATTTATGTGAGTTTGTCTCTGTGTCCTCTATTCTGTACCATTGGTCTACAAGTCTATTTGGTGCCAATACCATGGTGTTTTTGTTACTATAGCTCTGTTGTATAGTTTAAGGTCTGGTATTGTGATGCTTCTTGCTTCACTTTTCTTGCTAAGGATTGCTTTAGCTATTCTGGGTCTCTTATTTTTCCAAATGAATTTTATGATTGCTTTTTCTATTTCTATGAAGAATGTCATTGGGATTTTGATAGGAATTGCATTAAATCTGTATAATGCTTTTGGTAGTATGGCTATTTTGAAATATTAATTCTGCCTATCCAAGATCATGGGAGATCTTTCCACTTCTGAGGTTTTCTTCATTTTTTTTTTTTTTTGTTTTTTGTTCCGTAGTTTTAATTGTAGAAGTGTTTCACCTCTTTTGTTAGAATTATTCTCAGTTGTTTTTTTTTTTTTTTTTTTTGAGACTATTGTGAATGGGGTAGTTTTTCTAACTTATATTTCAGTGGATTCATCACTGATGTATAGGAATGTGTTTGATTTATGGGTGTTGATTTTATATCCTGCTACTTTGCTGAATTCATTTATTAGTTCTAGAAGTTTTCTAGTGGAATTTTTTTTGGATCTCCTAGATATAGACTCATGTCATCAGTGAATAATAATTTTTTTTTCCTATGCTGATCTTAAAACTTGCTTCTTTGTTCAGTTTTTCTACCAGCTCTAGAGGTCTTCTGGTAGAGTTTCTTGGAACTTCTAGATATAGGATCATGTCATTGCAAACAGAGATAATTTGATATCTTCTTTTTCCTGTTTATATCCCATTAATTTCCTTCTCTTGCCCAATTGCTGTGGCTAGTTTCAAGAACTCTGTTGAATAGGAGTGGACATCCTTCTCTTGTTCCTGATTTTAGAGGGATGCTTTCAGTTTTTCTTCATTCAGTTTGGTGTTGGCTTGGGTTTGTTATATATAGCTTTTATAATGTTGAAGTATGTTTTATCCCTAGGTTCTTCAGCTGTTTTAACCTGAATGTGCTGAATATTCTCAAAGATTTTTTGTTATCTATTGAGATGAAAACGATTCTTGTCCTCAATTCTATTTATGTGGTAAATTACATTTAATGATTTTCATATGTTTAACCTTGCATCTCTGGGATGAAACACTGTGGAGCATGGTGT